GTGCGGATGTCTACGGGAGTCCCAACCTTAAGACCTGATAGTGCACAGCATTGACTGAATCTGGCACTTCCTGCAAAGATCTCGAGAACGTGGATCTTTCCCTTACGTACACAATTCCAATGTGCTTGTTCAGGAATGGATGTGAGGTCCTCGACGAACATGTTCTCTGCTGGATGAGGTACTGCAGGTTTTGGAGTTGTTTTTCCCGCGATACGTAATGGCACTGAGGATCTTGGCTTAGGAGCTGGTGCGGATGATTCCTTTTTCTTGGAATCTGCAGAGGAGCCTGGTTGCTCCTTCTCTAAGGATTCTCGCTCTTCTGGTAACAGAAGATCAATTCCGGGTTTCCCCGGAGGGATGGTCTCATCCTTCCTGAGCTTCGTCATGTTAACCTTGATGAGTCGAGTCCCAAGATCAAGTCCTACCATCGCTCCTTCAATGGAAATGACCTTTCCTTTTAGCCATATTCCTCCCTTGCTTCCATCGGAACGAATCTTGGATTTGTCTTCCTGCCAGTAGAATACCTTGTCCTTCACCTGAAGAGGCTTAGAACTCATTCGGAGATTTTGAGCAAGGTCTCGTCGGATGTCTTCGGATTGACGTGCTTCTTGGAAAGCTTGCTTTGACAGCTGCTTGATCTGGATGGCTGTCAGCTCTTCTTCATTCCTGTCAATCGTCAACTGAGTTGGTGTTGCGACATCGAGTTGGATGAGATCTGCTGGTCGTCTTCCGAATGCGAGCTCCAATGGTGTTACACCCCCGTAGGTGACGGTCTGATTCCTGACAGTTGCAGCGGCCTTCACTAGCTGCCTGTATGTCACTTTCTTCAGTGTTGCAGGTGCTGTACCTGCTTTGATGGAACTTAGCATGATCTTGAGTTGTGCCTTCAGGAGTCGAACTGCTGCTTCAGCTCGATTTGGCCATGGTGTATTCGGTCCCAAGGATATCGGTGTGATGTCAAGGGACTGATAGAAATGTTCCCATGTATCTGTCATGAAGGCTTGATCTGCGACAACTGATTTGGGCTGCAAGTGGTACTGGTCAAAATAGTTCCTGAGGACAGTGATGTTCTCGGCTTCTTGCGTAGTTGTCACTGCCTCTGCAGTGAGCAATGTTGTTGCTCCATCCAGGATGACAAAAACAATGATGTGTTCTCCTGTTCCAAGAGGAACTTGACAGTGATCAATGAATGTCATGTCACCAAAGGTGTCCGCTCGAAGTCCACTTGTTTTGCTTCGTGATGGTGCATGTTTTGCCGCTTGGCAAACTTCACACTCACTTCGGATCTTGTCAAATAGATCGAATGTTGATTTCGGCAAATGAAGTGCTCGGGTTCTAAATCGAAATTGATCTGTTGTCATGTGATGATGCTGCAGGTGGAGTTTCTTCAACTCTTCGGGATTTGACAATCGCTTGTGGATTCTGCCTAGGGCAAGCGGAAGCGATGTTGGTTCTTCTGAGGATGGTGTGAAAGGATCTGGCTCAATAGTCGACCGGCCCCTCTTGTCGATGATCCTGTCTGCTGCCGATCCTGGACCTGCTTCTTCATCCTTAAGCGAATTGTCCGCGAAGGTGAAAATGGTCTTACCTGTCCACAGGTTAATCATCGGTTTATTTGCCTGGGATGTAAGTCTCCAATTGTCTTCTAGAATGTCTGGATCTCCACCGGCGGATGCATCAATGATTTCCGTAGTACGTTCTCGGCTAATGTGATCAGGATTGATTGGACATTCCTTGGCTCCATTTGGTGTGAACAGCGCCTTTCGGGGCGTGATGTGAACACGGATGAGCTGCTTGTTCTTCTGGTCAAGGATCCAATGGTCCTGCTTTTGAGACCCAATGATCTTAGGAGTTGCTAGGTCCTCCTTTGTCTCGGATGATTTTGCTGCACAAACAGTTTCGCTCTTGGTGAGATCCCCGGAGGGAAACTTGATGCTGTTATCATCGTCATAGACATAGTTGATGAGGCCCTTGTGAGCAATTTCTCCATGCGCCTTCACTCTTGCAACTCCAGCGAGATCGACGAGTGCATGTCCTGTACCGGATACTGGAACTGCTTGACGGTTCATGCCAAAGGCCTTGCATGTGATCTTGTCACATTGAGGTGTGTGCTCGATGGTCATGTAGAGGTTCCGCATCTGGCTGATGCTGAGAAGGATCGGTACAGTTCCTTGTTCAAGGACGTCGATGTTGGTACTGCATGGAGGAGTTGTGTGATATCGAAGATGCAGGGTCCAGTTTACCCTGGCGGTCTCTCCGTTTGCAAAAGTGAACTTGGTCTCGGCCGGGATGTACTCATAGGAGATGATGTCCTTCATTGGTTCGATGGCCTGAGTAAAACGCTGGATTGCATGCCAGCTGCCCATAGATCTGGTACATCCATTGTCCAGAATCGCATAGGTCGGGTTGTGCTGAGGGTTGATGACAGGCGCCATCAGCTTTGTTGCCAGAAGGCTGTGATTTGTTGTGACGGACAGATTGTGTTCTGAAACTGTATCTGATTGGATCAGCTTCTCGTGGATAACCTTTTTCCCAGGATGCTCATATGCATCATGGAATGCCATTAACGCTTGTCCTGTGCTGGATGTCTCATGGGATGAGTACCAGCCATGTTCGTTCCATGTCCATGATTGATCCCAGTCTTGGTCTGTCCAACCGGCATAGGTAGGCTCTATGGATGGTGCAGTCTGCTGGATGGCGGGCTGCTCCTCCGTCTTCTCTGCGGTGGCTGCGAACGTCTTGGATTTTCCTTTTTCCTGTCCGCTCTTTCCTTTGCCACTCTCATAGGATGGATAACCTTTGTTTCCATCATAGGGATATTGGAATTTTGATTTTCCTTCTTTCCCTTCTTTCCTTTGCCTTTTCCCCAATATGCCTGGTCGTAGGGATCATAGTTTTCGTTGGCCATATTGGCCTTTCCGCCAGAACCGCTTTTTCTGAAGGGTTTGAAGCCACCTCGTTGGTGACTGCCCTTTTTGTTTCCTGATTTTCCTTTTCCTTTTCTCTTCTTGAACTTGAAGTTCCGCCCCGACACTTTGCTTGCTATGAACGCATCGTTCTCCTCGAGGACCCAGAACGTCTCTTCATCGTTGTTTGACTTGAATCCTTCAAGTCCTTCTTCATCCTCAACCCAGAAGCCTTCTTCTCCTTCGTATTCACCTTGTTCGATGATGAAGAATGTGTTGCTTCGGTTGCCTCCTTGAGGTCGGATGGATGGATCTTGGATCGATGTCCTCGTCGTGATGAAGAGTTCATGGTAGTGCGTCTTCAGCATCTCATAGGAGTAATTTTCGAGTGAGATGTTTCTCAATGACATTGCACTTGTCAGTCTTTCTCTTTGCTGATCTGACAGCTCACTTTGTATGATGAAAACTGTGCAATGAGATTATCCCCGAAGGGAAATGCGTCCCGCTGTCTGTCCTGCATTCCTGTGATATACTGTCTGAGGACTGTAGGATCGTCCTCATTGAGCAGGGCTGGAGGCGGTGCTCTAACACCGGCTGCTTGCTGATGTCGAGCAATTGTTCTTGCATTTGCGTCCTGTACGGACTGTCGAAATGATGGGGACTGTGCCGTGAAAACGGGCATCAAGTCCATCCATGCTGCCTTCAATCTCATAAGAAGGATTTCGAATTTTGAGGTAAAAATGAGGAACTCTTGGTTCTGCCTTCTATGGTTGAAGAAACTGAGGAGTCTGTACAGATACACGTTGGTCGCACCTTTCAAAAAGTACTTCTTCAGCGTGTTCTTGAAATAGTTGACTCCTTTATGAGGATCTTGCAAAAGGTCATTTTGGAGGACTGCCTTGTACATATACGCATCTCCGGTCAATCTGCTTTTGAGCAGAGGTCCTCTCTTGGGTCTTCCACCGTCGTGATGGTCACCCAGTCGTCCACGAGTTCTTCATACCTGAACCGGCTGACTTTTCCGTCGTACGATGGTGGCTGCTTGGCGGTCATCGATAAATTTAGTGTTTCCTCCGTATAGCCTGGATTTTTGGCCATACTTGAATAGGCTTCCATGAAGCCTTCTCCATCGGATGACATCTTCCCTTGGATCTCTGCGGAAAACCCGCTCCGCTACCACAAATTGAGGCCCACTGCCCCAGGTGCCTATCCCAGAAGGGAACTGGTACCCTGTGGTAGTAGAGGTCGTTGTTGGTCCCTGGATCTATTTCGGAGAGAATCCAATATGCCAATGTGGATGATTGGAGGATGGATTGTCCCTGGTGGATTGTCTTGTGGATAATCCTGTAAGCGGCCTGCAAGGGTTCTTTTGCTTCACGCGATCATTGATGATACAATGATATGCACAAAAGGGGCCTTGAGCCAAATGGTTGCGGGAGATCAACTGGATTGGGAACAACCACAGGGGGGGGGGGGCTCCATTTTGGTTCAGTCGGGTCCCCAAGCTTGTGTCTGAGATGGGCATCCCGAAGTCCTCCGATTTCCCGCGGGGTAGGCGTCTTTTTGGCTGGAGCCCCTTGGTTGATTTTAGGGGAGGGAGTCCTCATTTTTGGAGACAGGCCTGGGTGCATGGGCACATTCGGCCTGGAGCCGTCAAGAAGGGCCAAGCACTCATTTCTCCAGCTTCCGGACTTCAGAGTTCAAGGCTTTACGGGACCATCACGGACCTGGTGGTGATGGTAAAGCAAGCGGGACTTGTTCCGACCGAGAGAGACCCAAGGCTTTGCCCCTCACCCTTGAAATGTTCTTGGCTTCCTGCCCTCTTTGACAGTCTGATGGGCGGGGTCCAATCATTTTGCCTTTTAGGTGGACAATTTAGCCATTTAGAAATGCCGGACTTCAAACTACAAATTCCCACAGGGCTCCTGCACCACGGGGAGCGCAAAATGGAGGAAGCCCTACCAAAATGAGCCAAGTTTGCCAGGCCTTTGTTTCTAAGATGGTTTGCACTACCTTTGGCCACTACGAACAACGTTTACCTGAACCCGCCTCCCAGACCCCTTCCCCCTGCCCTCCCACCCCTGCAGTCGACAGGTGAACCAACGGTCGGTGAGCACTTCCGACTTCTACTTCGACTATTTTCAGGCAGTGGTTTCAGACGGCGACGGCAACGCCTACACGCTGCCCCAGAGCAACGGCTACGTCTGGCGGATAGACCGGGCCTCGGCTCGGCCGCGATTGTCTTGAGTCGTGGCCTCGTGGGGGAAAAGTTCCCCAGAGTCACGTGGAAACCACCCGTGCTGAGCGCCCCCCGCAGAGGGCAGCTTTTCGCTCCCCAGACGTGGGGTGCGGCGGTTGTTGGCCTGTGTGCCGACTTGGGGTGTTGCCCATCGTAGGCAGGTGTCTAAGAGAAGTAGGAAAAGAGAGAGGAGAGCTTGGAAAGAACATGCCAGGCTGGGTTGAACCGAATGTAGTTTCCAGGTGCACTCGAAGTTGTTGTTGAAAAAACGGGAGCCGTATGTTTTGTGGTTGTGGGAAACTGCTTGTTAGAAGGCAACGCGTATTTCACAACGGGTTCAATTTTTAGATTTTATGTGTGTGCAATGATGTGGTTTTCGGCTCGCCAGGAGCCAAGGATCTGTTTCGATGCATTTGATTAGCATCGTCGCCTGGATGAATCCCAACATCCGAAGCCCCAATGATACCCACATCCCCTTCTTTCTTGTTGGTTGTTCAGAGCCAGATGGTGGCTTGTGTTTTGCCACTACTGCTGCAGCAGAATGGGATTTGCTTTATTTCAGACTTAGCTTCAAGGTTTTCTCTTCAGAAGGGCCCTTGTTTTTGTCCGCAGTCCCTGAAGAAGGAGGCCTTCACTCATGTGATGTGTATTCTTGCTTGTGTCGGTGTTGCCTCTTGTCCCAAGCAATTGGGCGGCTTGGGTCAAATATCCTTGGCTTGACGCTTGTTGGATGTTCGGCTGATGAACAGCACCGGTCGCCGGCATGTGATTGTGTATTTCCCGCTGTGGTTCGTCTAGGCCTAGGCTTGGACGTTTCAGGCTCCTGGCCGGGTTTGTGTAGTAGAAACTTCTCTAGCTTGCCTGTTGATGTCTACTTTGCCGTCCAGGTCTAGTTACTTTGTGGCTTCTCCCCGGGCTACGACCCCAGCACTTGGCAAACATTGCTGGCCAACCGCAGCAGGTGCTTTTGGGCGGGTGTGCTTATCATTTGGCAGCCTGTGTGCGCGTGTGTGTGTGTGTGTGTGTAATGCGGAGTGGATGTTGTTGAGTCGGTGTGCTTTTCATTTGACAGGTGTGTGCGCAGTTCTGAGCGGGTGCTCCTGAGCAGGTGTTCTTATTTGCTGGGTGCGTGCGTGCGTGCGTGTGTGTGTGTGTGTGTGTGCACTTGTGTGGTCCTGAGCGGGTGCTCTTGCGCGGGAACTCATGTCATGCTGCAGGGTTGCGTGCAATGCTGAGTGTGCGGTGGGTGCTGTTATCATTTGGCAGGCGTATTTGCTACTCTGAGCGGCGGCTCTTAGGCGGGCGTGCTTCTTATGGCAGGCGCGCGTTTACCGCGGAGTTGGTGCTCCTGAGAGGGCGCGACTTCCATTTTTCCATTTGGCAGGTGTTGCGAGCTGTGCTGAGCCGGTGCTTCTCAGTGGCCGTGCTTATGACTTGGAAAGCCTGCGCCGTGCTGAGCGGCTGCTCCTGCGCGAGTGCGCGAGTGCTTGCGGGGATGGTGGGCAAGGGCTCGTGGTGAGAAGGCCGCTGAAGCACTGCGACAACCATAGCTGCAACCATAGCTGAGGTAGGCGGCCGGACCAGCAACAAGAGCTCTTGACTAGCTTCCGCGCTCACCTGAACAGAGGTCCCTTTGAGTGTGAAGGGTCACTTTCTGGCTTGCGCATCGTTGCGCTTTCCGTGCCACAGGGGCGCGCATGATGCGATTAACGCAGATTGAGAAAAACCGCAAGGATAATTTTGCCACTCACAGGCCCAAAAGCAACAACGCAGGGATCCCTACCTTCCCTTGCTCTAGGCATTGACTTCTGCCTCCAGGGATGATGTTTCCACGAGACAAGGAAGCCTGCGGTCTCTTCCGTTTGTTGGCTGGTCTCTGTTGAGTCTGCTCCAGCTGTTGGAAGGGAGGCCGGTTGACTGTCACTTGCAAAGGACATGAGCAGCATGACCCCAACAAACGGGTACTTGTCCTACGCCACCATGGGCCCCTACAATGCAGGCGGGCCGAAAAAGCGGCAACGGAGCTGGTTCCGCAACCCTCGCTGGGTGACGACTGGGTTTGGCATTCCAATTGGTGCCGGGTCCAGCAATGGCTAGCTCTCATTTCTTCGGACAAGAAGCTGCAAAAGGAGGAGGTTCCCGATTATTCAGTGTTAAACCCATCACCTGGAATTGGAAAACTTGTTCCACCGTCAGCATTTCTTCACAAAGGCAAAAGATACATATATACAAAAATAGATATGTTTACAGAAGTAACACAGCTCCTACATAGGCGGTCTGGAACAATTAACGCCTGGAACACTTAACAACTCCCTTTCCCTTTTTTAAGGAAACCCTACCTAGGAATCTCAGGGGTTGGAACGAGCTCCTGGCTGAGGCGTTGCAAGTGTGGCATGTGCGGCACCCCTAGCTTCTAACACGCTGTTAAGTTTTCGCTTACCGCAGCTTCCTTTGCTTCGGGGGCAAAGGGTGGTCTCACTTCCACCGAGTTCATGGATTTTAAAAGGCCCAAAGCCGACCTTTTGACCTTTTGCTTTTCCCATTTTCGTCCATATTTAGTCGTGGCCCAGGTCCTTTGGGCAAGTGAGTTATTGGGCTTGGACCACTTTAGTGATAGAAAGTGTTTGGATTTGTCTGGCCATTCGCTCCGGAAATGAGTGAGATGAGGTTTTATCGAGCCATATTCCAACTATGGTATCTGGAGGCAAATGGACCGCATGTGATGATTGTGACTGGGGAGGTTTCGGGGTGGCATGAAGCTTCCCTGCCAAATTGCCGAACCTCAAACTGTTCGCTGTAAAACAACGGTGTAGGGGGTTCTCAGTTGTCCAAAGCAAATCAGCTACCGATATTACTAAACATGTTGGCGGGCTTCTTTGTCAAGCTATAAGCTCCTTGTAGTTTCCTTCCATTTGCTTAAGAGTATTGTGTATCTATCCCTGTTTTTGAAGGGAGTCTATCACTACTGGAAAGAGGTATTTTTTCCAGGGATCTTTTTCTCAAATGGAGGTTTCCCTCCCGAACAAGGAAGTGAGGAGCCCCCGCCAAAAGGGAAGCAGTCTTCCCATGCGGTGCTTGGTGCACTTTCATGTGGGATAGGTCGCTGGCGGTAAGGGAGCCAAGGAGATGGAGGTCTCCAACTTTTTGCTTTTGAATACGGACCCTGAAGGGGAGCTGCCAGAAGTTCTGTAAGGACATGGTAGGTTGTCTTCATTTGGTGAACGTCCTGTCGGGCAGACAGCTGAGGTCAGAGATGATTTGTCGAGACCCAAAAACAGACAGAGGAATGCAGTCAGGCGGCTATTTTCTGTCAGTAGGCCAGTCTATTGGCGCCCTTTTTGTTTTTTACATCTGGTGGGTTCCAGATGTCAAACCCAACCCACATGGCTGTCAGACTTTGAGGCGTCCTCCTATCCCATGGGCTGGGCGGTTTCCTTCTTGGCTTATTTTAAACCATCCTCGACCAAATGGAATGCCCTCAATGTGTTGGCCAAGGCCCCCAGAGGGCAGAACTTCCGGATGTTGTCCGGAAGATGTCTTGAGAGGACCCTGCGTAGTTCCCGCAACATGTGACAAGAAATTCGTGCATAATAAACTCAAAATTGCTCTGGGAAAGCTTCTGGAACTTTGCAAGCCATTTGTTCCAAGTTCGCCGCCAAAGCGAGCGAGGCAAGCGTGCCTAACGTGACGTTCAACATTCAAATTGCGCGTCAAGAGCAAGTTGCAACAGCCACAGTCTGCCAAGGGCTTGCTCCGTGCCACGGCCAGGTCAATCCGACACACCCAATTAAACACCTCATCGATGTTAACACCAGCGCGCGGTGACACACTGGTGATTCAACTCACCCACTCGGCTTCCCTCCCGATGCTTCGAGTGTTCACCCCACAGGGAGCAATTCGACATGTACAATCCACAACTTCCGGAGCCCAAAAGCTTGTCCCCAAGTTTAAACGCTACACAGCAATATTTTGCCCCTGCCTGCAGGAAGCATGCGGTGTGTCTTGAATTGTCCAGACTCCTTCTCCAGACACCTAGGGCCTTGAAACAAATACGTTTGCCAGCCCATCAATCTCGCAATTCACTCCTCCCTCTTAGAACCACTATAGCTTTCAGTTATTTGGGGAAAAGTGACAGGCTTGGGATCTTTAGCTGTGCCAGGCTGGGTGTTTGGCGACTGGGTCATTGCAACGTCCTACTCGAGTATGGACGGGTACCTGGTCCGGTTTGACAAGGCGACCCTGAGCTCAGATATCTCGCAGCTTGGCTCCAGAAGGTGCTGTCCGGATCTCTTTTGAAATGCTGTTTCAGCTTTTAGATGTCCCATGTACCAGAATCCAACTTGGCGAAAAAGAAACTGGGCTTCCGGCTTCCCAGGGATTATGGCAAACCATCCCTTGAATTTGAACAACACGGGTTACCAAGCTTTATTTCTTTGAGTGCTTGAGGTGTTTTGTCAGATCATGGCCACGACCGGCGCTCCGTAAGCGCGGCAGCATTGCATCTGACAGGGGGTCTCCAAGAAGAGTTGTTCTGATGCCCACACAGGCACCGTGTTAGACCTTGCAATCAATGTTTATCGAGTGCCATGCTTGCTCTCTTGTCCGCTTGAAGAAAATCACTGAAAGGGGTATATGCTCATCATGTTACTGGGATTCAGTTGCGTGCCTCATGATTGCTCGCGTCCACCATGTAGGGACATGTTGCTTGTTGTTTGTTTGTGTGTGTGTGTGTGTTTGTTTCATTTGATGGTTGGGCTTGAGAAGCGTTCTTCCGTGCGGAGAACTCGCGAGAGAGGCCTCGAAAAAGCTTTTCGGGCACAGGGAACATCGGGTTTTTATTTCAAGAGGAAACAAAAACCAATGCGGTTTTATAAGAACCCAAAGCAGTTGTCTACGTAGAAACATAGACTTGGCCAACCCAACCATATAAAACTTGGGACCGAAGGCTGGCACTGTCTGCACAAAGGGCCAACGGAGGCGTTGACACCAGCCGTCCTGCCGTGTCGCACCGGAGGATCCCCCTACTGTGCCAGTCCCTGCTGAAGCATCACCTTTTGGAGAGCCAGGTTGCAACCTCCCTCCTTTTGACCTCCATTTGCTTAAGAAAAATTGTGTTATTTTCCCTTGTTGGATTTAAAAGGAAATCATCACTACTGGACATATTTTTTCCCCTGCGGCCGAAAAACCAATGGAAGTTGAGCTTCAAGAAAGCCAAGCCCACATGGGATACTGCCAAGACCCTCACCCAACCCCCCAAAAAAAAAGCCCTTGTGGATAGAAGAAGAAAAAACAAAAACGTCATCCAGAAAGGGAAGTAGCCCTAGAACCCAAAACCCCATCTTGAATCCCTGCCGTGCGTTTTGCAGCACAGTCATGCCCAGTACTGGTTTGTTTTGATGCCTCAACAGCTTCTGTTTGATGTCTAGGAAGACGTGATTTGTTGTTGCCTTGTAAATTGTTCGCTGATGCCTCACCGCCCCCCTCTTCAGGTAACCCTTAGTTGGAGGTGATAGATTGGTGGTTTGGGATTGGAACCTCTACTTCTTGTAGAGGCTCAATGGTAAACCCTTCCGAACCTCCAAGCCACCAGTGACTTTGGGAAGGGACGCGATCAACCTCTACAACACCGACTCCCGCCTCGCCTACTTGTGGGGTGGCTTCTCCGATCGGAACTACACCTATGCCGAGCCTCGGCGCTTGCTGTCTCCCTCAAACTGGGGCGTGGAAGGGGGAGGGGGGTTCAAAGGCTCGCTTTTGGAGGTTACAACAATTCTAGGGTCTTCCTGTATGTTGACACATGCCCAAATCTCCTTTCAGTTGCTTAAGACTATGCTGGTTTTAAAGGGAATCTATCACTGCTGGAAATATGCGTATTTGTCCAAGGGACTTAAGCAAATGGAAGTCTCCACATTGACAGCATACAGGGTAAATTGGTAGAGGGCACCTTTTGGGTGGTGGCTTTAAGGGTTTGAATCTGCAAACTGATCGCGTGTCCGTGGCACGCGTCCTTCCAAATTGGCGAAAAGGACGGCTCCAAGCAAGAGATGCCGCCAAAACAATGGAAATGCAAGCTGGAATTTGTCGCCTTGTGCTTTTTGGACAAGTGTATCATTCCTTTGGGTCGATCAGAGTGGCCTTCAACTAGATCGCCCTCAGGCAAACAGCAAGCAACGTTTCGCAGGGGCAATTGAGAAACCAGGATCTGGTTTCGCACGAGAAGAACATAAAATCGCCGGCGACACCAAGGCATGTTCATCCAAAGCTTTCCCCCACACGGCCCATCTACATTTGCTTGGTGAGCGTAGCCTCAGAATCTGCATGTGGATCCTTTAAGGTTTCAGCGCAATTGGGCGTCAGTTGACGGTCTTTGTGGTTGGTTGGCTTGCGTTTGGGCAAGCCGCAAGCTACTTCAAGAGAGTTAAAGGAACAGGGTTCGCGCAGGAGTTAATAAGAAAGTTGTTTTCCTTTTTTTTCCGTTTGCCCTGGTCTCATGTTAAGCCCTTTCCTGATTCTGGCCTTACTAGGGTCTTAGGAAACAGATGCGGGGTTAGGGCCTCAGGAGTGTGATCAAGCTATGGATTTACTGCTTGCAGATCCTGGGCCATTTGGCCAAGCCCAGAAGAAAAATGCAGAAGACCAAGAAGCCTTGCTACCCAATGGAACCAGGATGTTATCAAAGCACAAGACAAGGAAGCCGTAACTAGGTCCCTCAGTGGTGCCCTTTCTCACCCTTGTTTGCAGGAGGGTTCCCCTACTAAAATAGCCTTCAGGAGAAAAAGCAAAAGAAGAGAAGTACCCTTATTCTATCCTCTCTACTGGAGGAGCTGGGTCAGATTCTGGGGAGAAGGGCGGGTTATGAATTCCATCGGCTCTCCGGACCGGCCCGCCTAGCGTCACAGAAGCACCAGGTGCCAGGCTTCTACGGAGTGGTGGCCCGCGTGGATATGACCAGCGTCGAGGTGAAAGTCCTGGACCTCACCCTCATCAACTCGGCGCGCTTCCGGGGGGCCTCCGGGGGGTCGGAGAAGCGAAAGGGCGTGGCGGTTTGTGGGGGTCAGGTCTTTGTATTTAATCAGAGGTGCATTGTGCCAAGGGATGTTTTCCGACTTTAACTTTTTGCCAATGAACGGGTTTTCCTTACTAAGCCACTAAAAGTTAAGCTTTTAACAGGGGAGCAGAAAGCAACCGAGTAATGGTGTGTTCATTCCATCCTTTCGGTCTATGTTGGCGTGTTCTGCGTGTTGAAAACGCAAATGAGGTTGACGGAACATGTCAGTAGCCTCAGGTCGAGCACAATTGTACTTGGTGGGGATGGTCAGAAACCTTTTAAGTTTAACCGTTTGGATTCTTGCAAGACACGCATGATCCCCGCCTTGTTTCAGTTTGTTCGGCGAAATGCGGCCCAGAGAGGTTCGGGTTCGCAGCCTACGAAACCCTTCCAAGAAAGGCTTCTTGGAGCCTTCATCCTTTGCACAGGGCCTTCAAATCGTTTTCTCCCCGTGGGAGGGGCATTTCTGGCCTCGGTTTCACCAGGTTGACCCGGGCGATGGGCAATCCCCACTGGAAGCCTGGGCTTTGGTTTGTGCGGCATGGAATGGGTAGATGTGGAAAGGTCTTCACTCTACTGCTATTGGGTTGGATCTTTAGACTTTAACTTTTGGGATTCCCCTCATATTTTGTTTTAACCAGCAAAAAGTTAAACTTTTTGCTGGGGGATCTACAGCACCCAAGTTCAAAACCCATGAAGTCTTGTGAGGGCTTTGGAAAGAGCCACTTACCTCTTAAAAAACACAACTTTTCAACTTTTTGGGTAACATGGGCTATATGTCTGTAAAAGATTAACTTCCCCAGGGCTTGGAGTTTTAAGGGGTAAGGCCAAATGCAGAGACTTGGCCGCACGAAGGAAGCCGCAGGCATAAACTTGGGGTTCCGTGACGTTCATACCACGCTTGAACACAATCCGAAGAGGCCCGATGTTGTCAAATAGTCTGATTTCAACATGGCACCCCCTGCTTTACCCAGTTGCCCAGTGCCCTGTTTCCTTTTTTTGGGGGAAGGCCTCCCTTTACACTCAGCCCACCCCAAAAAGGATGCCGATTCTTCCCATGGAAAGCCACTGGGCATGCCTCGTTGCAGGCGTACACGGAATTCCGCGGGGGGTTCCAAGATGGCGGCTCGGACGGGTCAGTGGTCCACTGCTACCCGCGTCTTTCAGTTTTTAGATGCCCCAATCCCAAAGATGTTACGTCATTATTATGTTTTTGGACGGGGGTTCCATCTATGATTGTGATGCAAGCACCAAAGGTCCAACGCCCAGTGGCGCCCTTTTGGTTCCAAACAATGGGCATTCTTTGGTCCCTATGGCCAGCTGACATTTGGGTCTTCAGATGTGACTTTTCGACACCGGCGGGCCTCGCCTGCAACAACAAAAGGTCTCGTGATTTAACATCTCAAGAGTATCCATTGGTTTGTTGTTGCTTTTCTTTGACCGGCCCACTTGTCACAAGAAAGCGCAGAACAGTCCGTTTCTTGCTAACCTGCCAAGGGTTTGGAAGTTATTCCCCTTCCGAATTTCGCCGGACAAGTAGACATAGGTCCCCTCAGGTACTGTATGGCAGAGACCCCTCATTCGGCTGCTCTTTGATCCACGTTTTGAAAAGCCAACCCGTTCCCTGGCAGTTACTTCAAGGAATTGTCTGAGGTCAGTCAGGCGGTTCACAGTTCTCAAGAGGCTTTTAGGGCGTATGCAAATGTTAATTGTTTACTTCTCCCGTGATACGTGATATGATAGTTGGCTGAACCGAAATAACCAGCCGTTTGGCTGTGAAAGCACTTGCATGTTCCCAACTACTAGAGTTCTTGCGAAATGGACTTCGTCGCCAAATAGAGCTCGAGGAGTTGTGTCCTTTTGGTTTTCGTTTCAACAACCCTAAAAGGAAATATGCTGAAAAAAAGACCTTTGCCCTGGCATTCCAGCTCAGAAAGTTGAGGGGAGGCAGTTACAGCCAAAGCCCAGGCGTTTGCCCCAAACAGTTCACGCAAGTTTTGTGATTGGAGGGGCTGGAGCGGAATCCCTTCCGGTCAAACTGGTGGTAGCAATTGAAACGGGGTCCATGTTCATTTGTTGTGCGTCGAACCCCCCCTCCCCCCTCTCCCTTTATGGGGTGCCGGGTTGAAACGGTACCGCGCCAGTCGCCTCAAACCTGTTGGCACTGCTCGGCCTTCGTTGCCAGAAACCAAGGGAAACCAACGGAAAGCATTGTTTACATAGGTGTCCTTTTTGGTTGGTTTGGTTGAAAAAGTAGAGGGCGATTCCTGGTTTACCTGGTGGTTCAATCATCTACCAGGGAAACCCATCTATTTTCCCAAAAGGACACCTATGATTGTTTATTGGTACTTTGGTATTTACAGGGGAATCATCATCCTGGTGCGAAATGGATTTCGTTCATGCTTCCCAAAAGGGAAGCCAAAGGGGTGGGGAGGATTTGATTGTTTTGTCCCCAGGCCACCTATTTGACACCCCGGCTTCGAAGGGAGTCAGAAATGGGACTGAGAGTTGAGCCAGTTGAATGCGACTTGAAAGCGCCGGCGCCAGGATAGGGTGTCCATCTGACTCACTTTCCAAGTTGCAAGTCTAAAGCGTCACAGCGATCGTTTACGGGCTCTTACACTCACCAGGGACTCTGTAGGACGTGAGAAGAGAAGTCCGCTTGGGAGGCTTGGGACCTTTCTACTTGGCTTTTGCGCTGTAGGCATTTGGGGCTACTTGGTGCCCAATTCGAACGTCGTGGTCCGCTTCAACCTTGCTCCTCGGTTTCCTGAGAAAACTCGCAAGATTTCAGACACCCAGTGTCCTGTGATCCCTTGTGTTGAAGGCGTGCACCCAAATCATACACGCCATGGCCAGTGAAAGCAGGGCATAGCTCTAAGTCTCTGCTGCTAATCCACAGTGAAAGTCGCAATGCAATCCAAGAAAACTCTTAGGAAACCCATCTCTCCCGGCGGTTTCCTGCAAATATGGCCTGATTTTACTAGTGGTTTTTGGAGAAAGTGAACCCTTTGGTACGCACAAAGTCGACATGACCCCGGTTCATCAGCGACAAACTTTAACCCCCTCTAAACAAAGAGGTTGCTGGGCTCTACGAAGCTCATTGTTTGCCAACTTCAAAAGGCAGCCAAAGAGGGAGAGGTAACTACGTATGTTTCAGATCCTCTACTTGACGACACCTGGTTGGCTTGCTCTTGTTGAGCATTCCTTTTGGTCAGCTGGGTTTGTTTCCCGGAGGGTGGCGCTCCGAGTCACTTGGCATTTATGGTTCCATTCCCCTTTTATGGGAAAGACTAAGTAGATGGAATTGGGGATCCCCCACCCCCTTCCCTTATGGTAGGGGGGATCTTGACACCAGGTCTGGTTTTGAGCCTCTTTTGAGCCAGGGGCTTGCGCGCATGTTCCTTGGAACACTCACTTGATCCTTGGCTAGCAGCCAGTGCCCAAGATTTGAACATGTTCCACTTGTTTTGCAAAGGACCCAGTTGCTACTAAGTTATAAGGTCTTACCAAGCGTTGACCCATTTATGTGCTGACCCCACAGGCCAAATGGCAAATGCATAGCTTGGATGGGCTCGACGAATCTATTCCTAGCTACATACCATATTGAGAGACAAAACAACGCATGCCGAAGGCAATGAAAATGTATATAAACAATATGTGTGCACTTACCCCAGCAGTGGCAGTACAGCTGGTCTGCAACAAACGGTGGTAGCCTTTTTTGTGAATTCCCCTTGTTCTTCCCTTTCCGGGTAAGGTCAAAGGGATCCCGCCTGCGAATCGCACGTAGTCCGTTCAGCCCTTGAACTGGTTTCAAGTTCCCCCAGCTGCTGTCGCAGTTTCCTTGGCTGCGGCAGGCTGGTACAGCTGCCTGGTGATGCCAGGTTGTCCTTTCAAGGCTGTTTCATTGGGCGATTTGCTGTTCCCCCTTGTCATTGTTTTTGAGCATCACAAGATCTAGAAACAGAGTGAGTGAGAGACAGAGAGAGCCCTATTATTGGGAACGCAAGTCCGCCACGTTGAAAGCTGATGTGTGAACCATAAGCCCTTTGTTTGTTTGTTTGTGTTTTTTTTACATTGCAAAACAAGGGTCTTTTGGAGTTGGTATCCTCTCACCTCGAGTTAGGAAAACCAAAGGAAACACACACACTTGTTGTTGGGGGCACTACCTTTGAGACAAACCCATATAGACACAATGCAAAGGGTATATCAATTTTCCCTGCAGGCTGGTTTGGGGGTGGAAACCCTCGATTCACGGAATACAAGGCCCCTGCAGCTAGAACCAACCCTAACCCAAAAACGAGCACCACACCCGTCCAGCGCATGTCTTTGATGAGCACCGGGTGTTCGAATTTCCGGAGAGGACGACTTCTCGACGGTAGAGACCTTGGACCTGTCCTTCGACGGGATCCTCCAAAGCTTCATCGAGGGCTTCGATGCCTTCGGCACATACGGCCCCTCGACGCTGCACCCCAAAGCGTTGTGAAGAGTTCGTCCGTGAAAATCGCTAGCCTTGCCGCGCAGCGAGATAGACAAGAGGACATGCAGAGCTAGATGCACGAGCGCACATGCAGAGCAAGATGCGCGAGAGCACGGGCAGAGCAAGAGAGACGAGACCACTCTCAGAGCAACAAGCACGAGAGAGCACGCGCAGCAAACCGCGCGAGAGAACGCGCGCAACAAATTGCACGAGCCAGCTTGCACGAATACGCTCGTGTGAGACATTTTGCATGAGAAGAGTGGGCTCCAAACTGAAGCACGTATTTTGAGGAGGCGTGGTGGGACCAAACCTGGCCGAGGTTCAAACCCTTTGTTTTGGCTTCTGTTTTCCGCTCGCGCGCAACCCGGCGCCCGGATCGCCCTCTGAAGGGTTGGTGCGCTTGATGTGCAAAAACCTACGATTTAACATACCCGCGCGACCTGCCAACTGGTGGACTATGTTGGACTCTTCTACTTTTGGTCGATTTGCAAAAAGTGAGGACATATTGGATTGTTTTGAAATGCTCACGCGCACCCTCTGCGGAGGTTGGCCTGGTCGATGTGCTTAAAACTGGAATGTTTTGCAACCGTGGCGCCACTTGCGTCGACAAGGACCCTCTTGGGGGTCAAGTCGGGTCACCTGTGCACGGATATAAGATCAACACGCGCGAGCACGCGCACAGGTATTTATTTGTATATATGTATGTATGTATATATGTACCTGGATCAACCAAGGGCACTTTTTGTGCGATGTCCGCAAAATCCATACATTTCAACAAAAACTGTGTTTTTCTTGCCGGCTACAACAAAAGACATGGGAGCATTCGACGACCTTTTTTTCTGCAAGAACCTCACGTTCAGCTCCGGCCCTGGCACTGGAGTTTGTCATGCTCATGGGCCAAAAACCCCATTAAATGTGTGCAATTCACCAAGGCCGAAAGGTGCTCATTTCCCCCAAATGTTCCGCTGATTTCCGTACTTTCTCCGCGGGTGTGGGCTTCGGCCTGGTTTAAATAATTGCCTAGAGGGGCTTGAGGAAGGTGGAGCATGGTTTTGCTGCTGTGGAAAATGGCTACATTTCCGTTTTGTGAATTCAGAGGTGGTGACAAGTTCTGTTGGAGTGATTTTTTTGTTGTTCGATGTCACGTTCTCCATTGGATTTTCTGGAGTTTACCTAAGGCGCTGGGTTTAAGCGGCCCTTTGCGTCGGCCACTTTTCCTGGGCAGGTTGTGTTGCCTTTTTGGGCGTTGACCGCACCTCTTCCAACGGCTCCGCAGGCTTCCTGGTGCCGTCGTCCTACAAGGTTGCCCGCTTCTCACTGAGTACCTTCGACCAGGCGAGGTTGGAGAAAATGGGTGGACGAGAGCAACACAGAAAGCGAGTCATGACCCAATGTATGGTTTCTGTTCTTCCATGCTGGAGCGTGTAAGATTTAGTTATTTTTCTGGTGGCAGATGAATGTACCTCATCCAGATCGCACGCGTGCGCGCACACACACACACACACACACACACACACACACACACACACACACACACACACACACACACGCGTCCTGTGTCCAGTTGCAAGGGCTCGTTTTTTGAGGATCATTGTTCGCCAAGGATTTGCTCTCCAAACTACCTTAGACCTGTGGTCATCTTAACCAGGGTTGGGGGAAGTGATTTTAACAACCGAGCCCCTGGCTGCCTGACAAGGAAGACCAAAAGGGGTTGTTTATTTAAACACTTGTCGTTTCAACAACGGTTGGCCAATCCCGGTCTCAAGCAGCATTTGTTGCACCAAGTCTGATTGAGCTAATGCCGCAGCTGCGGATCACTGGCCCACCTCCGGGAGACTCAAGACATGGCGCAGGGACACTTGCTTGGCTGGATCTTTGACCTTCAATCAAGCAAATGCCGGGACACAGCACCAAAGATGACCTTTGAACTTGGGGCTTCGTGCTTGCCCCACAAGTGGCTCACAGTCCGAGAAGCCAGTAGCCATGCTAAATGCCTGTGGCCGGAGCTACCCCATTCGCCAGGTTCGGCTCGGTTTGGGCCAACTTCCTCTGAAAAATTAGGGGAAAGAATCGAATGTGGGTGGCCTGCCTCAAGTTGCATTTGCTGCTGTAGCGGGAGGGGGGGCAATCCCTCGCGCAAGTCTCGCCAAACATTGCCCTCCCTCCCACTAACATAGCACCCGCCAGGGGGTCCCTGCCACAGGAAAGTGCTCTTCCAGGTACCCTCCCACAATGCTATGTCAGTGGGAGGAAGGTAGAGGGGTCCACGCTTCCTCCATGGTTGGGAATCTGGCAGTTGATCAAGAATTCATCCAAAATCCACTTGGTTTACCAAGAGCATCCTCCAAAAGTCAGCGGCAATTGGGTGATATGAAGGCTCTCCCATTCGACGGTGAGAGAGTGGAAGCTGAGGCTTCGGTCACAAGCGCCGACCTCAGCACCTATGATACAACCTTTGTGGCCGGGGTGATGCGTGTGCGCACGGGCTACATTGTGGCTCGGATGAACCTGGGGTCCCCAAACAAGTTCAATGTTCTTGGGCAGGTTAGATATGGACCAGAATCTGAACATGCTACCCTCCCACCAATTAACATGGAACCTGACAGGGGGTCCTGTTGACAGGAAAATGGTCTTCTAGGATCCCCCTGCCAGGTTCCATGTTAGTTGGTGGACTCAGGTTTGGGCCAGGGAGCAAGGCTGACCCCAGCAGTACCAGCCAAAAACAAAAACCTGTTGTCATCACTGGCACGGGGTGAAAGCAGATGTCGCAATTCCCTTTCTGATGGTAAGCAATCAAGTAAGGAGGGCAACGAAGCAACAGAAGAAAAAAAGAGAACCGTGCCATTTGTTGCCCGACTAGATGTCCAGCTTTTGGAGAGGTCATTTACGTTGGAGGCTTTCACCTGCAGTGGCGCAATGTATGCCCCAACTGATTTCTTGGGATACGTGTTTTCACGGCTCAAAGGACAGCCGCGGCCAGTCCAAGAATCACCAGCTGAGTTGGAGGATCCTTCGTAAAGCAGGCGGTGTCTCTGTGCCGCCCATGGTGTCACAATCTTCTTTGGGGAAGGTCATGTGACAGGAACCTGCTGGTATTGTTGTCACCTCAGGGGCCCCAGAATGTCGTTGCTGGTTTGCAATGTGTGCAACTGAACCCTCCCCCCGAAATTTTGTTCCAACACAGGTGATTCTGAGAGATGCACCCCATGGTAGGGAATCAAAATTCAGTGGAGCCGTGCCTGTGACCCCGTCCCCCCAGTTGGGTCTGTCAATTTTGTTCAGGGAATTCTTCCCTCAAGCCCCCCTCCCCCCCCCCTTCCTCACCCCAGCTAGGTCTCCCAGTAGTGCCCCCTTGTTTGGGGGAGGGTTCCCCTACAAAAATAGACCACAGAAAAGAAGTTGGTACCCCTGGAGGACCTAGCCACCTTCCCCTCTCCCTCAAATGGTGGGTGTTTCTTTGGCTCCCCGGGTTTCCAACTCAGCGGCTCGCGCCGAGTTGGGCTCCAGCGGGGTCTTGGTGCTGCTGGACCTTGCGACCATGGGCACCAGCTCGCGCCTTGGCAGATGGCGGAGCTCACTGCACCGTCTGGGCGGGCGCCGGGGCGGCGGGGAAGGGGGGGGGATGGGGGGGCCTCCCAGTCTTCCAAGTCCCTACGGTGGATGGACGAAATCCTCTTTGGGCACCACGAAGTGGGTCAACATGCTTGAAACCGTTGATGGTTGGTATTTAGAGGGGAATCATCATTCCAGGTTTCGTAGGAAGTGCGAAATGGAGTTTGTCCATCCACAGTATGTGTTTTCCGTGTGTGTTTGTTTGTTTTTCCCCCAAGGGTGGGTTTAAAGCTCACATGGGCCAATGTCAAGTGAGTTCTGTTTGGCGTGATGTTCTTATCAGGCAATCTGGGGAGCCCCGACAAAGCTAGGTATGTTGCCGGTTTATGGTTTCCAGCCCTTTGGCCTGCGCGCCAATCGACCCAAAAAGAGGTCGCTGGCCAATCCGCTCAAATAGCTGGGCCAAAGGGAAGAAGCGGTTTCTTGAACATACTGTGGATGGACGAAATCCTGCACCACCTAAGAAGCCCTGAAATGATGATTCCCCTGAAAGTGCCAAGGAACACAGTGGTATCCTATGGTTTCAACTTGGTGCAGGATTTGGCCCATCCAGTATGTTGTGTGAAATCGGGAGGGGGGTGAGGCATGTGTTCGATTTGCTCAGACCCCCTCCCAAGAAACACAAATTGGCGGTGGTCCTTTTGGCTTCCCTGTAAACCCATCAAAGAAATTCAAAGAAGGCCCCGAGTTTGTAACCCTCAACCAAAGAGCGTCTGCAGTTGGTGAAGCAAAAGGGAGGCGCAGCCACTCCTCTTGGCTTTGCTTTTGGAAGGGGATCGCCAAAGAATCCTCTTTGGGCGGGGCCCCTGGTTCAAACATTGAAATTCTCAAAATCTGTGGATTGGTGTGCCCCTTTTGTGGGAAGGCTTGTGGGCCCGCAGCATGTCCATCGACATGATATTTTGACCAAGCACAAAGCTGGAAACCTCTGTCAACTTTCTGAGTTTGTGCTTGCTGAGAAGTAAAAGAGAAACCGGGCCTATCCCTGCCTTAGTGCATTGAAGGGGGACATACCCTCAATTGGCCCGTTTCCCCCACACATGTTCTCTTGGTGGGCAAAAGGAAGATCATGTATAGCGAGGCCAGGTGTCTCAAAGTCTCAAAGCGTTCTTCAGCGCGTGGACTTGGTTGGGAACCTCCATTCCACTGATACTGTGGGTGGACAAAATCCTGCACCACCTATGAAACCCTGGAAAGATGATTCCCCTGTAACTGCCAACAAATGATGGCTTGCGTTGGTTTCAGAATTTTGTCCATCCACAGTATTGCTGGAACGCTGTCCCGATTGGAAGGAACTTTCAGGAGAACCCCTCGGCCCAAGGGGACGGATGTTGCGCCCTGTGATTTTTCCCATGGGGACATTTGAGAGCGAGCCTGTCCGCGGAATTCTTTGGAAACAAGCCATCAGACCTGGATGCAGCGGTTTTTTGCTGCAACAATAGAGGCAGGCCACGAGACAAGCCGAAGCAGGTGGCGAAACAAGAAGCAAATAGTTGCCGCAGTGAGCGCTGCGTTTTCGAGCAAGGTATTCAGATCATTTCAAGAAAACCACTGCATGTGACTCATGTTGCATTCTCACTTGGCAACGGGTGGTTTGTCGTTAAGCGATGCCCTTAAGGCTGAAGTGTTTGCTGGCATGCTGCAAGTGTTTACGGCAAGTTCTTCTCGCGGTCCGAGTTTCATGGGGCACCGCGTGCGCCAATGAATATACTCTCCTGAAGTTTGACATGGAACTTGGGAGGCCCTCCTTTATCAAACTCGCTTGCCCAAAGCCGACCTTTTGACCTTTGGATTTCCATGATTTGGTCCATTTTTAGTCATGGCATCACCTTTCATTTCTGGGTCCTTTGGGCAAATGAGTTGTGGAAAGCTCCTTTTGCAAGACCGTTTCTTCCATGTTCTTGCGTGTGTGTGGCATGGTTCCAGTACCAGAAGGTCAAACATGAGGGAAATGGAATGGTTGCAGGTGTCAAATGGGTGCTGTCCTTGTGGCTTCCCCTTAAACCAATGTGAAAAGGAACCCCCGAACAGACACATACAAACCTTCTGGCCGACCGGTAACTCCGTTCTGAGCAAGCTGGAAGGCCGCTGAGCACTCCCACGGTCTCAAGATGACTTCTGCAACCCGAAGCCTTCCCTTCAACTCATTTTTCCAAATCACATTTTGAGGATGTCACTTGGATGCTCCTTTGCCCGAGCTAAACGGCCACGTGTTTGATTCCTACCATTGGCATCATTTCTTCCATTTGCTCAAGAATAGATGTTCTTGTTTCCTTGTTGGTTTTAAGGGGAATCGTTTCGCTGCTAACAATATGTTCTCTCACTTTCTCCATGGGGCAAAAAACCATGAGCATTGGTGGGTCGAAGAACCGGGGTTCCATTTTTGGTGCCTATTTTCACCCACAGGAATGCTTTGGTTCACCTTCACCTCCATTTGCTAAAGAATATGTGTTATTTTCCCTTGTTGGTTTTAAAAGGAATTCATCACTTCTGAATCACTACTGGACATATGTTCATTTTTTCCTGGGGGCTTAACCAAAAGGAAGCTTAGAAACCGTGCTGCCGTCAGGATCAGCTTGGCCGCAACCACGGGGTGGTACGATGTCTTTCTGGGCCCCAGCGGCTCCGTGGTGGGGGCCACAAACATGGGCTGCACGGAGAAAATTCGGCGCTGGGCCGTGGGGGTGGATGGGTTCGGACGCGCCGCAAGATGCTGGTGCCATCCATTTGCTTAAGAGCATGTTGTTGTTTTCCTTTGCTGGTTTTACAGGGAATCTATCACTACTGAGTTTTTTTCCAGAACTTAAGCAAATGGAAGGTGCTCAAATTTAGGTAAATGCCTGGTGGTGGAAAGTTGCAATACCGTGGGTGGCGTCTCTTACAATACCTGGATTCAAAGTGGTGCAGGATTTCTTTCATCCGCAGTAAGGAATCCTCAACGGTGTTCCTTTTGGGTACACGCCTGGTTGTGGAGAATGGTTGTTGATACCAAGGGAAGGCCCTTAGATAGCCCAGGTTGTTAACACAGCTGTTTTCCAAACTACAGCTTCGGATCCTTCTTTCTTTTAGCTGCCGCTTGCGGGCGTTGTCTTTAAAGCTTGTTCTTTACCGCAGTGTACTGCGGATGATTGCCGGTCCTTCTTTCAGGTGGTGTGGGTGTTTGTGGGTGTGTGCATGGTGTGATACCACAGCGTGGGTTTGCAGAGGATGGTTTAGAGTTTGTTACTGTGGGGTCAGAGGTGTATGTAGAGGTGCTTTATGTGCGCTTTGTGTTGGGCTCGGATGACTTCACTCGTCTTTCAGGGTTGGTTTAGGGCAGCTTTGAGGTCGGCTTAGATTTCTGGGGTGAGCATCTAGGTCCCCCAGCTAGGTGCCCGACCTCTCACCCCTTTTTTGGTTGGGAGGGTTCTCCTACTAACCTTATTCTAACCTCTCTACTGGAGGACCTAGGCATGCAATGTTTGACTCTTGGTTCGCTGAGGGCTCGGAATGTAGTTCCATGTCTTTGCTGGACCGGGAACATGCGATTGTTTGCCTCACAATATGGCTCACTCAGTTCAGCCCACCACCCTCGAGCAACCCTCCACCCGCCACCTACCAACTTCCTGCACACGCAACACGCACGTGACCACACCCGCGCTGTGTCATGTCCATTGCTTTCATCGTGATTTTGGGCTCGCGTGTTCGGCCTCAATGTGCCGAACACAATCATTGGGGGTGAGTGCGGTGCGTTCGCGCTCAGACTACAAGTCCTACTACGAAGTTTGCCAGGAGACTGGGTGCTAAATAGCAACACCAGGTCAACAACGGAATCCAAGAAGGATGTATAGTCACTTTTTGCGTAGACCGCCATTTGCTCTTATTTGAAAAGAGGATCAAAACTGGTTTCCCTTTTTGTCGATGGTATGAATCAGAAGCCAAAAGGGTATTCACCACCCAGCAGGATCCCGTAATTTTGAGACGCTCTCGTGCATGCCGGCATTTCGGGACGAGCAAATGAGCACTTGATGGTTACTCTGGCTACCACAGATCGACAGTTATTGGAAACATGTATGGGTGTTTCGCAAAATTAGGGACCACCCCCCCCCACCAGGTGGTTGATTTCCTTTTGGTTTCCCTTGAAAGCCGTACAAAGGTGGCCGGATTTTGTGGCACTTACAAACTTGGCGGGTGCCATGGGGGTCTAACTAGATGTCCCCTGTCCCGGGATCCCGCTTCACATGCCTTTTCTACGGTTGTAGTTGGGCAAGGCAAGAGTGTATTCTCAGGTGTTGTGTGATGCTCTTGTCATCTCTTGTCCTTTTCCTCAAGGCATGATGGAGAAGATTTGGTGTGGGCTTGCTCGTTTTTTTGTTCTCGTGGAAGAGGGCCTCGATCTGGCTAGGCTTTCCTAAACCGACCGCTCCTTTGAGCCCCAGGTGATGTTTCAAGGAGACATCTAGATGGAAGCCCGCTTTCCAGTGTCACGCTGAAACAAACATGTATGGCTCCCATGATTGACCCTATCACCCTCGGCCATTGTCCGGCAAGGAAGCGCTCAGTTGGCCTTGGCAGCCAAATTTTAATCTTTGGATTATCCGGGCCAAGAAATCGCGCAGCTGCAATTCAGTGCTACCTGGGGAGGAAATCCTTGCTGACTTTGTGAGAGCGACGTGACGTTTTTGGGTACCTTGCATCGCAGGAATCTTGCGAGGCCAACATAGACCATTGTTTTCAACGTTGGTGAATGCTCCTCCTGTGTTTCTTTGGAGCAACCCGAGAATAACTGTTCACCCTTCAGGAGTTTCATCATTCCATGGTTGTCAATTTTTATTTTCATGGGGGTTGAACGAAGGATGTGAGCGCTTCTCAATTGTTTAGTCCCTGTCTAGTTTCTTTCTTTCTTTCACGAGCACAGCAGGGTCTAGCCCTCTTTGCTCTTGCAAAGCTCTGCCTCATAGTCCCTGTCGAGTGCCCAGAAAAAATGAGAAGCTCGCCCCAAAGCCGCGAGCGGGCTCGACGGAAATCGCCGTTCGGACAGGACTCGGTGCAGCTTGGATGCAGTAAGGCAAAGCTTCAGTGGTCTGATTTAATCCCAGGGACAAAGCCCTACGTTAAACAAAAAGAAAAAACAATAAAAAAACTCGGGTTGATTTAATTTAATATGGGACAAACCCCTACGCAAAAGACTAGGGTTGATTTATGTGGGACAAACCCCTACGCAAAAAACTAGGGTTGATTTATATGGGACAAACCCCTATGCAAAAAACTAGGGTTGATTTATATGGGACAAACCCCTGCGCAAAAAATAGGGTTGATTTATAAGGGGGTGTTCATCATTCTGGGAAGCTCGTGTTCCATGTGCTTGTTGTCCAAGAAGCGAGGTTAGACTCGCCCAGGCTTTTGCTGTACGGCCAACTTGGCTGGAAGCTTGTTTGGGAATTCAAGTATTGATTTCCTCTACGCGTCAGCCACAAAAGTAAAAGGTGGGAAAAGGGTCGCCGATGTTCAATTACACTTGTGTCGGATTCCCGAAGAATGATAAAGAATGCACATCTGCGAAGGGAAGCCTGAACTGGTGGCTTGGATACCCTCTGAAACTCAGTTGTCCAAAGCTGGCCTTTTGACCTTTTGATTTGCTCTTTAAATGACCATTCGGGCCTTTTCACATGAGGTCTTTTCAGTGAAACGTTTCATTCTTCAAGGCTGCATGAAAACCACAAAAAGCAGGTTGAGAGTATGACCAGAACCAAGGAATTTCTTGAGGTGGGTTCATCATCAGGGCACTGATCCATTGATGTGGGCATGCTGAGGCCTCTTTCTTGTGAAGAAAGGTTGGGAGCAAGTTGCGAACATGTTGGGGCAAGGTTGGGACAGGAAAAAGCTTGGGACTGGGAAACGGTTGCGAACAAGTTGGGATGAGGATCATGCTGCAAAGACTTTTCTGGTATGAGTGGAAAAGAAGCTGCTGTGAGGGCCTTGCAGGGCTGGCACTGTGGGGATTTGGATTGCACAGCTTTTTGTGGTTTTCTCTTGGTTTGTTGTGCTTAAAAACAGTTCCCAAAAGCGCTTTCTTCTGACTGGTACGCCTTTGTTTTGCCTATGTTGGGCCATACCTAGTCATGGTCCCCAAAGGTTACGTAACCTTTTACTTCCAGGTCCCTTGGGCAAGTGAGGAAAAGACCCACACACACACATGCGCGAGTCGCTTGGTGCTAAACTTTCTTGTGGAGTTGACAAGCTTTGAACCATTGTGTCCAGATCATTTGGCTGGTGGTCTAAACGTCCATGTGCCATGTTTCTGGAGCTCGCTAGGGAGCAAAATGTTCAAGCTCTCCATGGCGCAGATCCTTTACTTGGGTATCCCCTATTTTCACTTCCTGACAAACAGTTTGGATTTGTTTGGCCAACCCATTCAGGAGGAGAGTATGCTAGCAACGTTAACTACATAGCATCACAATTTCTGCAGATCCAGCATCCACCGTTGTAGATCCTTGCCCTCCCTTTGCCTCCGTAGCACTGGCGGGCCGATTTCATCAAACAATTCAGCTGTCACGTCCCATGGTAGGAGGCAGTTCGTCTTACTCAAGTTGGGCCAGCAGGCAACCAGACCCGTCAGCCACATGAGTTCATAATATAGTCCGGCCTTGCGCTTTGGCACGCGCTTTTCCTTCCGAATGCGAAAGGAACCAACAGCATGATGCCCAGACCTCCAGGCGTGCCCAGTGTCCAATCCCAAGAGGCATGCTGCGTTCGCAGATGTTTCTGAGTCATAGGTGAGCCAAATACGTGGGCGCGTGGGAGCACGCGCCCAACCAAAAACTAGGGGTACCAAAGCTAAGTAGCAGATCTTAGAGGGCACGTGATCTCGAGTGATGGTCGTGGAAAGTTTGGGTGCGACTTTCAGCCAGCGGGCACTTTCTGCATCCGATTGGCAATGCTGGGGTGGAGGCCCCTACCCACTTAACGTGGCTTATAAGTCTTTAACTCAGTTGATCTGCCTGGTGCCCTTTCACAGGTGCTACCTTTTGTGGCCATGGAAGGTGTAGGGTATTACAAAAACAAGTCACCCAAAATATCCACGACACCCGCACACTCATCACCTTCAAAGGCCGATTCGCCTTGGAAAGCTGAGTGTAAAAAGGGGAATGAAACTCAAACACCTGGTGTCCTTTCACAGGTGCTACTTTTTTTTGCCAGAAAAGTTGAAGGGGTATTCAAACAAAAACTAAAACGATTCAATTCCAACCAGGGAGGTTCTGGCTTGGGAGTAGCCATGGACGACTCGAATTCAGCCCCAGGCCTTTCGTGCCCATCGAGCGGAACGTCTGCTCCAGCGTGGTGGCCGGGCACCTCAAGTCCCAGACATGGTTGTAAGCCTCCATACCTCCAATGGTGGCTTAAAGAGAAGCAAACGGGAGAACCAGCCCTTTTTTGGGGTCCCCTAATAATGGAGACCCATTATTTACGTCATTTGCCTGGACCCTCAAACTAATCGAAAGAATGTTTGTTGCTCAAAGCATGGTTGTTCTTGGGGAACATTTCTGACATTTTTGCTTCTTGTGGTTTGGTGTTTGGAATCCAAGCACTTGACTGCTAAAATTTATTTTTTGGCGCACCTTCCAACGTCAACCAAGCAGAGTCCCGACCTGGTTGACCCTGAAACAAGAAACAAAACCTGGGGTTCATGAAGGAAAGTAAGGGAAACATCCCCACCCCCTTAAAAATGGAATTGGGGGAGGGGGTGATCCCTGGAAATTCCCGAAAGCATGGCGAAGGGTTCTTCCGCTGGGTTCACTTGAATTGTTCTCATGAGAGTCATTACAAGGTGTCATTCCAAGGAATCATCATCATGAAAGTCAATGCAAGGAGTCATTGCAAGGAGTCATTGCAAGGAGTCATTGCAAGGAGTCATTGCAAGGAGTCATTGCAAGGGGTCATGGCAAGGATTGCAACTTGCACTTGACTCCTTGCACTTGCAACTTGCACTTGACTCCTTGCACTTGCAACTTGACTCCATGCACTTGCAACTTGCACTTGGCTCCATGCACTTGGCTCCTTGCACTTGGCTCCTTGCACTTGGCTCCTTGCACTTGCAACTTGCACTTAACTCCGTGCACTTGCGACTTGCACTTGACTCCATGCACTTGGCTCCTTGCAACTTGCACTTGCACTTGCGACTCCTTGCACTCCTTGCAATGACTTGCAAACCCTTGCAATGACTGCCTTGCAAATGACTCCTTGCAATGACTCCTTGCAATGACTCCTTGCAATGACTCCTTGCAATGACTCCTTGCAACTCCTTGCAATGACTCCTTGCAATGACTCCTTGCAATGACTGGCAATGACTCCTTGCAATGACTCCTTGCAATGACTCCTTGCAATGACTCCTTGCAATGACTCCTTGCAAAGGAGTCAAGTGCAATTGACTTGCGAGGAGTTAAAATCTCTTCTTAGGGCGGCGGGGTAGTGCCGACGACACTACACGAAAATCGACCCTCTGCGGGGATCGGCGTGGTCGAGGTGCAAAAACCCATGGTTTTTTGCGATTTCTAACCTGCTCGCGCGACCCTCTGCGGGGATCGGCGTGGTCGAGGTGCAAAAACCCATGGTTTTTTGCGATTTCTAACCTGCTCGCGCGACCCTCTGCGGGGATCGGCGTGGTCGAGGTGCAAAAACCCATGGTTTTTTGCGATTTCTGCGGTGCTCGCGCGACCCTCTGCGGGGATCGGCGTGGTCGAGGTGCAAAAACCCATGGTTTTTTGCGATTTCTAACCTGCTCGCGCGACCCTCTGCGGGGATCGGCGTGGTCGAGGTGCAAAAACCCATGGTTTTTTGCGATTTCTGCGGTGCTCGCGCAACCCTCTGCGGGAATCGGCGTGGTCGAGGTGCAAAAACTCAAGGTTTTTTGCGACTTTTGTTGTTCGAACTGGTCCTCGGGAGTTGTCTCGTGGTTCGCGCGCCTGCTCCCGGAACCGGCGGGTCGCGGGTTCGATTCCTCCCTGGTCCGCGGGCGGGCGTCGCAAGATGCAACTTGCATTTTAAAGCAACTTGCGCAGAGCAACTTGCGCAGAGCAAGTTGCACAGAGCAACTTGCGCAGACCAACTTGCACCGACCAGTTTGCGCAGAGCGCCTTGCCTAGAGCAACTTGCGCAGAGCAACTTACGCAGAGCAACTTGCACAGAGCAACTTGCACAGAGCAGCTTGCACAGAGCAACTTGCAGGGAGCGCAATTTGCACAGAGCAACTTGCAGGGAGCCACTTGCAGGGACCAACTTGCCGGAGCAACTTGCGCGGAGCAACTTGCGCAGAGCAACTTGCACAGTGCAACTTGCGTAGAGCAACTTGCGCAGACCAACTTGCACCGACCAGTTTGCGCAGAGCACCTTGCCTGGTGCTGTCTCGCGCTTGCTTCACGAAGCGTAGGGAAAAAGAACGCATCCTGCAGCGTTGGGCCGACGTCGCTTGCGATGTTCTGCTTTCGGGCCAACCGTGGTCTAGTTCACCTGTTTTTTTCTTTTGGGAAGACTAGATAAATGGAATTGGGGGCCTTTCAAACCTCTTGGTTTCTTCCTGGGCGTATTTGACTACTGGACGCTCCAGCCAAGGGAGGGGCACAGTCCCTGTTCGGCCCTGTTGAGATTTGCTGCATGGGATTTGGGTCGGCCCTCCTTTGAGTAGATGTTGATATCGTGGCTCATTTGACAGGAGGTTTCCTTATGCGGCAATGCTTAGGCAGGTGTTTTTGGGGCTAAAGAGGTAACCCTGCCAAACTGGTGCACTGGTTTCAGGGAATCCTTTGTTGACTTCCTTGTTGGAAAGTGGGGCTTCTGAATAGATGTCCTCCCGGAGGTATGCCAAGCTGGCCCAAAAATGTTGGGAGGACATGCGAATTCAACGAACTGAGGGGCTGGGGAGGTGAAAGGTCCTTTCATTATTTGCACAAAAAGTGAAAGGTTAGAGATCCAAGCAACCCTAGTCTTTAGTTAACTCTTTGGGTCCAAGTACCCAACTGCTGATCAAGTCTGTTTGGTCGCTTAAGTCAAGGTTTCACAAGGTTAACCTTTCTAGGTTCTTTAAATGAGCCTACACAACGTCAACCCACTCCGACCACGACCATCCCCGCCTTTTAAGAGACCACGCGCTTGGCGCTAGTTTTAGCGGGCCATGAACACTCGTAAACAAAAACCTCTTTGTGTGTGTGTGATACGCCTTGATTAATCGACCGGCATTCCAGCCCAGATTGCGCAAAAGCAAGCCAAAAGACGATGGACATGTGTTAGCTTTCCAGATAGATTCACTAGAAACAAACAAACTAACACTTGCACGAACTTGACCTATCCTTTTGATGACACACCCTGCTTATTTACAAGCCGCAGAGCGCCCCCTCCTTCCCCAGCCACCGTTGAAGCTTCGAGGACAAGTACACCTCCATGGCGGCCGAGAGCGATGCGAACTTCATGTCTTTCATGGGGGCGCCGTGGCCCGAAACGCGGAAAACGGCCAAAACGTGCCATTGCCTGAAACGAATACTTGTAGGTCTTCCAGTAGTGCCCTTTCTTACCCTTTTTTGGTTGGGAGGGTTCCCCTAGTAAAATAAACTACAGAAAAAAGGGTACCCTTATTCTAAGCTCTCTACTGGAAGACCTAGGAATATTTGTTGCTGGACTTTTCTTGGCAAGTGTTTTCTGTTTGTTCTGTTCATTTATGGTAGGGGGCTGCAAAACGCAAAGCTGGTTGCTGGCATACCAAGGGCTGTGAAGGTCAGTTTCCCCCATGCGCGCGTTAAAGAGAATCCAAGAATCACTGCTGCAAATAGATTGGTATTTCTGTCCAGGGGACTTAAGCAAATGGAAAAAGACGACCAGGCTCTGGCCCCTTAAAGCCCAAAAGCAGGCGGTTAGGGCTTGTTGGCATTGGTCCAGGCCGGAGCCAAGGAGAAATGTTTAAGCAGCCGGAGCAAAGTGGGATATGGGGAGCGAAGTGGGATTTTCGGTGGGTTTGTACGAACAATAGTTGGCTGCTATTGGGTTGGATCTTTAGACTTTAACTTTTGGGGAAATAATGGTGTCTTCTACTAATGCGCCCGGCAGCTAAGCTTTTTGCAGGGGGGTCAACAGCAACAAACAATATTGGTCAATCCTCATTTGGCGGGGTTGAATCGAACCCGTATGGAAGGGCCAAGGTCTTTTTGTCCTTTGTGGGCGCAACAGGAGTAATATGATGGGAAGTGGGAGGAGGTTCCTTCACTTTGGATGGGTCCAAGCGCAGATTGTCCAAGTCATCAATGCATTGTTCAAACGTACTGTCTTGCCTGTTTGGCCTCCAGTGGCTAATGTGTCTTTGGCCCCCAGTGACTTTGACTTCATCTCCTTTAGTCATTTGGAAAGTTTGCCCCCAGCCACGTTGCAAAGATTCAAACTGCTGCTTGCTCAACCCCGCCCCCTGGTTTCGTCCAAAGAAGGTGTTGATAACGCCTCTTAGGGTCTTAGATTGAATTTGGCAAACAGGGGCTGGGGGATTAGGGGGGTTGAGCTTGGCACAACCCGTCCGAGTGTGATTTTGTAGGTTTGTTGAAGGAAAAATTGGAGCCCTAGGTGCCAAAACTAGATAACGATAACATCGGCAAGCTGCTCCCTGCAAAACTTCCCAACACCCTGCACAAGGAAGGCCCCAAAAACTGGCGTGCAGGAAGATTTTGTGAAGGAGGGCACAAGGTTGGGTCCTCTGAATGGACCGCTAGTCTTGAAATCAGAGGTGTCCTTTTTGTTTGTTTTGGTAGAAAAGTAGATGGCCCTTGTTTACCTGCTGGTTTAATCATCTACCACGGCCATCTATTTCCCGTAAAAGGACACCTATGCTTCAATCCATTGATTGGGATGCCGAAGGCATTCCAGCTTTCTGGCAGCATGGCTCTGGGCTTCCAAATGTCCAGCGCATGGCGGATGGACCAGGGATTTTTCTGCGCATTCGCAGTAGGACTCCCCCCTCCTTGCGGTTTGCTTCGCTACGATCAGTCCCCCATGTTGCACCAAATGTCTTTAGCCCATCTGGGAGCTCACCCGGAATGAAGGTCCCTTGCTTTGGGAGTCTTTCCAGACACTACCCCAGAGAGTCAACCACGAAAAGGCTTGCCTTTGTTTAGCATGGTCGTTGCAGCTGCTAGTTTGCCAGGGCGGCCCCCAGAGCAACCCCAGGCATGCAAAGGAGCAACCTCAAGCACGCGTGTCCTCCAACTAACCCTGTGAGGATTGTTCTAGAACCCAAATTAACCCCCATTTGAGGAAATTCCTTTCGGCGACCTCAAGCCAAGTGTTTATTTGTCGCAGGGTGTTTGTCTCGTTTCGGATTTCGTCGCTTCGTTCAGACGGTCACGGATCATATCTACGCCTACCTGATCCCCTCGTCCATGATGGTCGTCTTCCGTATCGACCTGGCCACCTACAGTACCCCGGCCGCAAGTTCGGCGGCTACAAGCGAGGCCTTTCTCTGCTTGTTGCGTTCTGTGGGTTCCCGGTGCTTAGGATGCTATTTCTATGCCGCTTCAAATGCCCCCATTTGGGTTGGCACAATCAAGTGTGTTTCCTTTTCGGGGATGCTTGATGCCAAAACATGTGTTTGTTTGCCGGAACGGCTTGCGATTCATCCGAGGCTATGTGGAGTCACTCGATCTCAACAACCGCCCCTTGGATCCAAACAGCCAGGCTCTGATCGGTTGAACTGGGACTTGGTAAAGTGGAACTTCCGAATCGGGTTGCTGGCTCGGAGGGCTATCGGTGACCTAAGGGATGGTCAACCATTGGTTTGCTTCGGTTTGCCTTCGTTAAGTGTCTTTCGAGCAACCCGGCGCCGGGCTGTCAGGTGAACTTGCTAGTGATGCTGTCGGCAGAATCTGGGTGGTGTCTTTTTTGAGCTTTTTTTGCCGCTTTAAAGGGAAGCCTAAAGGAAAGCCAGCAATTTGGGGGGGTCCTCTAAAACGTTTAAAAGAAGACACACTTCAAGGAGGGCTCATGACGTCTTGGGCTCAGATTCGGATTCGAACTGGCGAGCCTGTGCGCGTTGAACCAGGTTGAACCCTCGTTTCGCGTCGTTTTGTTCAGACTACGTGGGTTTGCGGCTTTGGCCCTTCATGGAAGTGCCAAGCGGGGGAACAGCCGGTGTCATGGCCCTTCAAGACACGGGCAGGGAGAGAGAAACGGATCTCTTTTGAAGCCAGGTTCGCAAAAAAAAAAAAAAGCGACACGCATTGTTTCTTGGCGTGAAATGAAGAGAACCTGCAAGGCCCACAGCTGCGGAAGTTTAGGTCTCTGGGGGTATCCAAATTTGCTGAAAAAGGGGGCGAGTATTTTTCGGAACTCTCAGACTTCTGGAAGGGCATGGTAGCTATGGATTCCCTGACTTGACAGGTGGGCTATATTCTACAATGTTCACGGGCGGATTCCAAGATGGCCAGCACCTCTTCCTGGTGCCCCCCTTCGGGAGCCTCTGGTGATAGAGAAAACGGGGGGGGGGGGGGGGGCGGGCGGTTCGGGGCGGTTCGGGGCCGCACGGGTTGCAACCCATTTTAGAGGGGCGGAGGTTTAGGGGAAGCACGCACACACACACACACACACACACACACATTTTGATTTGTATGTATATATAAGATATATACTCCCTAGGCTTCCTCGGACTTTGTTTGAACGTTTCCGGGAACTTAACGCACGTTTCTCGGGTGGGCTCTTGCGTCTCTACTACGTGTTGCAGCGGAAGTGGTGTCATCACTGCTTCAAGCCAAGCTTCAAACGAAAGAATACCTAAAAAAAACCGGGTGCTTTTGAATCTCCACTGATGTCTACTTCAGGGAAAAAAGAGGGGGCGCAGACAAGCCGTAGACAACCCATAGAAAGGACTTGTTTCAGTAGACCGCACTCTTTTTGACGTAAAACGCACATTTCCTGGCACCCCTCCCGGAGAGCATAAAAAAAAACTGCAATTGTTTCATGCGCCCCGCACCGTGGTTTCAAAGATGAGTGGCATTGAATATCATTTGCTTGTGATCTCATGTCTTACTCATTCGTGGTAGTCAGAAGGAAGTGTGTGAAAAGCAGTGCTCAGTACGCACACGCGGCCGAAAAGGGCTCCAAACGAGGTAAAAGGGATCCTCCAAAAATACGCTTCGTCAACCAACAAATGTGCTCTGGACCCCATAAATGTGCTTTATCACAAAGGACGTGTTTTTTTTTCCCAAGTAGTGTTTACAGTAAGAGTTAAGGCCCAGTGCTAGGTCGAGGTGCCCGGCCTGGCCATGAGCATTTTGCGTGGTATTTACCACACAATCGTGATGTTGTATGATGTCGAGGCGCGCAGGCTCGCAGAAAATGAGGCCCACGAGTGTGGCCGGGAGCATATTGCGTGGCATTTACCGCAACATCGTGCTTTTGTATGATGGCGAAGTGCGTTTCGATTGGGCAGGCTCGCAGAAAATGAGGCCCGCGAGGCTGGCCACGAGCATTTTGCGTGCTAGCTACCGCAAAATGATGCCGTTGTATGCTGTCGAAGTGCGTTTCGGCAACACTGCGCAGGATGAAGTTGGTGTAAGTTTAGTGTTGGGCAAATATGCGGGACATAGGTACAGAATTTGCGACTTGCTCTCGTAAATCTGGGGCCATTGGCAGCGCGTCGTGCGCCTCAGTTGGCTTGTTGCGCGCATGGTAACCTCCAATTCCATGTTTCAGGCATGAAGATGCTGGAAACCACCCACTCCATGCCGTTGTCGGTCTACAAGCGCACGCAGGATGCCCAGGTCTTTCCAGCCAATGGCCGCCGGGTCAACTTCATTGTTTACGCCCGTCACTGTTTGGGGTCTCGTGCCGGAATAATCAAAAGTGCTTTGGAGTTCGAGGGCGCTCTCTCGATCTCTCTCTATATGTATACATGGGCTGAAAAAACAACCCCGTGCCTTTTCGTTGTGGAAGGGGCCGTCCCTTAACTTGTTTTGCAGGCCAAACCCATTGTAAACCGAGACTCAGGGAACAAAAAGAAGGAGAGTAAAACGATACCCCCAAAAGCCATGAAGACACACATCAGGTCCAAGTTTTGTCGCAAACCAAGATTGCGGAATCGTAAATTTGCAGGGCCCAAGCCGATACCCAAACCGATGCCCAACCGATACCCCCCTGGAGCTGCCAAAATGTCCTTTGTGTACTACATCTGCACTGAAAAGTTGCGACTTCTGCGCTGGAGCTGCTAACACGTACTTCGCATACTACGCTTTACTACTCTTACTTACTTGCACTGAAAAGCTGCGACTTTCGTGCGTATACTACTGAACACTTGCGACTTTCCAGCTGGAGCTGCATGTTTTGCCGACAGGCCCGAGGTCAACAATGGAGAGTTGGGGGGTAGCTGGATCATCTCGTTCTTTGGGGGGCCGCGTATTTTATTGAGGCCACATTGGATTTCGCACGGGGCATACGAAGGAAATCGGGTTCTCTTCTAGAACCCTCCCGTTGGGTTCAGCGGCGGTTGGGGTGCCTGCGCCATAGAGAGGACCTGTTTCACATTGTGTAGCCACCTAAAACATTCGGCAGGCTCTACCTGAATCCGAGCTTGTTCATGAAAAATGGGTGCACAGTAACGGCACCTTGGGGTCACTGGACTAGTTGCAACTAGAGGCTTTTTTGTTCAACTCGACCCCTTGTTGTTGAATCTTTGCTGAGGCTGAGGTAAACCCGTTCGAATCGAATCCGTAGGCAAGCTTACGTGGTGCCTAATGTTCGTCTCCTGTGCTGCTGGCTGATTTTGAAATACAGACTAGACCTTTGGTGGCATGGACCTTTGGAACTTGCAGCTGCCACCTCCAATAAAACAAGGCGTGGTCAGATCAGTTTAATCCGCAATTTGATGTGTGTCATAGGCTGACTTTTGAACAAGAACAAGGCATACACTACGCACCTTCTCCAAGCTGAGGCTGGGTTTGATGAGCAAGTCATATTGTGCCCATTGACCTGCCCAGAGCTTTGTCTACGGGAACCTTCAAAATGCCTGGTTTGCCTAGCTTCCCTTTACCACGCCAAGACAAGTACCAACTCCAAAAAAGACGAGAGCCACCCAAATTCCGTGGAGATGTCAGGAGCTCAGAGGTGGTACGCATCGACCTGCGCACCTTCAGTACGGTGGACAGCCTGGACCTCTCCTCAGCGCTTTGGCGAGCAGATCGCTCGTTTTGGCGGGGTTGCGGTCCACATGGGCTGTTTGAGCTGTTCCTCGCTCCCTGGACTTTAGACCTTTGGGGAAGACCATTTTAGTTGTAAATATTAAGTTTGGTTTTTGTGTGGCCGTTTTGCTGGATCAGAAGTGGGCCACAATCAAAACCCAGGTAGATGAAGGTTAGTAAGGGACAATCCCAGCCAGAAACAGCTGCGGCCGCCTTTGTATTTCCTTACATGTTTCTGGGTCAACCATATTACTACCGGGTTTTGATTGAGACTCAAGTGAGGTTTTCTGAAGGTATTCGGCTTGAGATCTTGGCAACACGAAACTGCAAGGATCGGGGTCCCAATCCCCATTGCGACACACACACACACACGCACGCGCACAGAGAGAGTAGGTGGGTGGAATCACGCGCGTCATGAGATTGCCCTGGCTAAGTGCAAGAGCTGCGGTGGGTAGCCTTCCGAGAGATACACTTCCCAAGTTGCCATGTAACATGGACCTATGTGGGCTTCAGGTCCTTCATCGGAGGGAGCAGAAGTTACAACATCCGGCGACATAAAGGCTTCTTCTCAAGCGGATGACAAGTTCCACATTGAAAGCGAAATCCATCGACCAAAGACAGCTTTTCTGCCTGGATCGCTGTGGATCACTGGCTGCGACTGAGGTGTGTAGATTGTCGCTTGCACCCCAGCTTTCATGGTTGTGGGACATTTAGACCAACTTTCTGTGAGTAGCTAAGGGGATTCCCTCAGTGAAGTCCCATTTTGGTGCAGAAGAGGCCCAAGTCCCAGCACGGCAAGGCCAAATCGCACAATTGCCGCACGATCAAATACACCGCACCCAATGCAGCACCACAACTCACCACAACTGCACTGCGCGGTTTGCGCAGCACACTTGCTCCGCAAATTGGCTCATTTGCACCACCTAATGTTGCTCCCAACAACGCCACTGCACATCAACTGCGGTTGATTGTATGGGCCATTTCGGGGCCGTGAGGAGGCCGGCTTCCCAGAATCAAGCCATGATGAACGCTTGCTTGGCTCATAAACTTGAGGTTCAACGGGAGTTGTGCCATCTACTTTCTCTTCCATGCATGGCTTGGTTAAGGGCGGGAGTGACCCCGAGCTGAGCCATCCCTTGTGGTTTGTCAGGGATTCCCCTTCCAGTTTCAGGTGCCCCCTGGGGGTCTCCGCCTCCACCACACCGCCGATTCGGCTCCGAACCGACGAATCTCCAACGAGGGAGCCTGACGGTTGATTTCAACCGAGACCTACTGGGAGCTGAAGGGTTACTCTGCGGGCTTCGCCGACGCGACTTGGGGCTATCTCGTGCCATCGCCCCTCGGTCTGGCTTCGGCGAAGCCGCCGAAGACCGAGATGTTTGGGTAGGACGTGTCTGGGTTCCATGTCAATGACTCTAAGGGATGCACTTTGCTTAAGAATCTGTGCTCTGTCCCCTGGGGTTTTAAAGGGAATCCATCACTACTGGAAATATCTTCAGTTGTTCCATGGGACATAAGCAAATGCAAAAGACGTCAATTCGTAGGGCGGGCACTTGGGACCTTCGAGAATCAAACATGCGCACCAGTTATCTCCGTCTATCGTTGCCCCGCAACATGCGCCCCAACCCATATTGTACTTAGCCCGCCGCCCGCATCACAGGGGGGATTGCAATGTGAGTCAACGATTGGGAACCTGGCTGAAGGGGTGGAGGGGTGGAGGGGGGGGGGGTCCTGACAAAGGAGAGTCACATACTTTCCTTCCTTGGTTTTGTTTGGGAGGGTGCAGGGGAAGAAATTGCCAAATTCCTCATGGATTCCTTTTGCACGGTCTTAGTTGCAAACACCCGCGCTGATTCCCCCGCAAAAAGGCGAATTGTGGTTAATGGGAACCCCGGATTAGTTGCTAGGGGGTGTCCCCTTGTGCGGGCTCACCACGTCTGAAAGAAAGAACCCCCCCTATTGAATCAACCAGGGTATATTTGTCCAGGGTTCCATAAAGCAAACACCAGCTCTACTTCTTCTCACCCCCAGCCCTAAAAGCTCCAATCTCGTTTGCTTGCGCTTGGCGGGTTCGAGCGCTGCTCCTTTATTTGCAAGGGTGCCGCGCTTGTTTTTGCAGGTCCCTTGTTTAGAGCGGTTTCAAAGGGAACCCAAAAGCTCAATGGAAAACCACCGAGTTTGAGCGTTCCCTGGTTTAGGGAAAATTCCAGGTGGAAACATGGTTTGCGGGGTCTTGACTTTTCCCTTCCAGCGAACCAAACGGAAACCCCTCCCCCCCGCTCGCTCTGAGGGAAACGGGATGTCTGACGCGTTTCCAGCTGGCAGATTTCAGTCGTGTCCTTAGATTCGACGTGAAAGCCCGCTACTTGGGAGGGTGCAAACGGGTCTACCCAGTTGCAGGGCCCCTTTAGTTAGGGCTTCCCAACTGAAAATGCTTAACCCCAAAAGGGGTCCCCTATGGTCCCCTTCTTCTGAGATCGTTGGGAAACTGAATCAATCATAGCAAGTGACTGCAGGCTTGCTTTGTCATACCTACAGAAATGGTGGCTTCAGACGTTCTGGTGTTTCCTTAGCCCATTTATTCAGCGGCGCCCTTTTCCCTGTTGGTTGGCGGGATCAGTCATTTTTCTGTTTTGACTAGGGCCGTTGGGCTGGGTTCAAGTCAAATCCAAGAAACTGCTCAACTTGTCCTGTGACTGCCATTTGGAGGCGCGTTCAAACGGGAGGAGGTTGTGGATCGGCTTGACCGAAATGGTAGATGGATGTATACTGTATGCCCGTTGCATGTGGCAACCCCGAAAAGCAAGTTGTCCAAACATAGGTTTTGTCAATGAGAGAGGGGCGTGCATAAAGGTGGTTTAAGCTGCCCGTTTCACACAGTACTGCTTGCCAGTGCAAAGCACGTTCAACCTGAGATGAACCCCCTCTTTGAAGCTTTGGTGCAAGCGTGACGCTTGTTGGCGGGTGTTTGCTTGTTCCTAGGTGGTCGTAAACTGTCCAGTTGTTCTGGGTCCAGACTGCAGCGAGCTTGTTGAATCAGCGCAGTCAATGTGCGACTTGCACTTCGAGCGCCTACAGTCTATCACCTGCAGGCGTGAGACGACGCCACTGTTTCAGCTGCAAACTCTGGATTTTGGATTGGCTTTATGCGGGCTTGGTGGGTTTGTGGGTTGCTTCGCCTGCAAGGGGGCGTCTGGCCGTTCACTTGCCTGTAAACGTACCCTCCTACAAGGTCCTTTGCGACTCGAAGATTTTTGCCTTGGATGCCATCCAAGTACTGTGTGGCACTCAGTTCGTTTGGGAAATGGCGACATTCCCCGCTCATCAACGTTCAGCCTTCTTGGTAGCCACCAACATGTTGGCACTTTTGGAGGCTTCCCCAGAAAAGAAAGGCGCGCCTGTCCCGACCAACTCCTTGGCTCACGCATGTCAAAGCTGCCGTCCAAAAGGTTTGGGTTGCCCCATCCTTTTGTGTCCTTCAGCTTTTTCAAGAAACTATTTTGTTAGGCGGTTAGGAACTGAAAGTAACCCAGGCAGAAACCACTCATAGTACGAAGCAGTTCTTTCACCAGAAAGGCAAAGGAGTTCCCGAACCGAAGGTCTACAATGACCACAACCCTCCATGTTCTTAAGAATATGTGTGTTTTCCCTTGTTGGGTTTGAAAAGGATTCATCACTACTGGAAATATGTTTTATTTTTCCTGGGGCCTTAACCAACCAGAAGTAACGCATGGGTGAAAATGTTGGAGCTTGCTGGTTGCTTTAGGCACCGTGGAGTATTTGGACCTGCGCCTCACTGACTCGTCGCTGGTGGAGTTCGGGAATGGCTTCAAGGAGCTTCCAACCGGCTTCCGCGGCTTGAAGCGGAAGGTGTTCTTTGGTTTCTCGGCACTCAGGTAATGTCGACCCAGGACGACAAACCTATCCTATTAATGGGGGGATCCCCATTTCCTTAGGGCTCAAAAATGGTGGGGGGGGGTCTGAAAATGTAGTTTGCATTCCCCCAACCAAAAAATGTAAGGGGAACCCCCCCCCAGGTGTGTATATCCGGGTTATATCCGTTTTTTTTTTTTTTTTTATGTATATTAAAGATATATATATATATATATACATATATTTGGGGGGAAATGTGACTTGACACCTGGTCACGTCGAAAGTGATTTTTTCTCACCCCTCCCCCCAACACAAGTTGGGGGAGTCGCAAAATGTAAGCTGAGAATGCTGGAGAGGCAGATGTGGCGCATGCGCAGAGGCTTTTGAAGTGGGGCAAGCTCATGAAGTTGTAACTTGGTTATGTACGAGGTCCCTTGCTGATAGGTCCACCTGCGTCCAAAATGTATTTTTACATTTGGCACGTCCCCCGGAGAAAATGTAATCTTGTGGGTGCCAAACCCCAGAAAATCCAAGTTACATGTTCAGACGCCCCCCCCTTAACGGGGTCGGGAAAATAGGGGCGTGTCCTTGGGTTTAGTGGGAAGTCCCCCATTAATAGGACAGGTTTATTAACCCGGGGTCAGCATTGCATCCCTTCCCCTTCTTGCATTTCAACATTTCAGGAATAGCCATGAATTTGTCTTTGGGTTGTTTCAAGGGGACATAGGGGCCTTGAGATGCTCCAACCCTTAGACTACTCGGGCGCCGGTACTTTGAAGCCTGCATTTGTTTCAACTGGAGGGTTTTCAGAGTTTTATGATGTGTTCCGCAAAACACGTGAGAATGACGTACAACGGATCTTGTTTTTACAAGTGAAAAGGTTAAAGTGCTAGGGCATAGCTACATTGACGAATTGAGGGGGCTTGCAATCATTTGATCCACGCACAAACTGCGTGAACCGCCGGAACACATGAAGGACCCCAAAGCCCACAACCTTCAACTTGATATGTGAGCAACAGGCACGCCTCTCCGCACTTACTGGGGAAGGGGGTAGAACTGAACCGTGTGAAAGCTATACCCATGTGGAGTTCCCGTCGGCAACTTCAGTAAGGGGCTCTCCGACGGCTCCCCAAAACAGTTTGAATCGTATGTTCAAATATGGTCATAAGACCCTACTTGAATCTGAAATGTGGATTAACTTTCTTCAATGTTGAATTGATAGATCCAAATCAGTGCCTTGAGCCGGTCCATTTAGATTCCTTTCTGGGCAGATTACGAGCTTGACGGCTTTGTTGCTGCCCGGCACGTGGGGGGACTCCGGTTGGACGAGGAAAGTACGGGGGCGCCCTGGCACCCTATCAATTATGCATTGTTGTGGAGGGGCGGGAGGTATGTATTCGGGGGAAGGGATTCCCCCTCCATGAGTTGCTTTCTCGCCTGACCCGGACGTGGCTCTGCAAAGATCGGCCCGCAACATCCCTTTAAGGGCGATCCCCCGCTTTCCAGCTGGGCAGGAGGGCAACTACGTGTACTTGGCGCCCATGTACGACAACACCTATATTGCCATGGGCAAGATGGTGCGCGTCGACACGACCAGTTTCTCATCCGTGCCTTGCCTCAGATCGGCAGAAAGCAGATACGATCGTGGTCCGTGAGACGTGGCACGGAATCCTAGGCCCGCAAAGACCGGAAGCACAGATTGCTCAACATAAGTCCACTGCGACCCTTGAAGGTGAACTAGCCGAAATTTCTCCTTGAACAGAGATTGAAGTATCCTTGAGACCCATTGCTTGAAATGTGGAGATTCCGTTCTCTAGGGTCCTCCTTTACAGCGTCATCCAATCAAGTAGGGCTATTAAACAAACTCATTGGGCCAGACATGGCCAGACTCATTGGGCCGAAAAAGGTTGCCACTTTAAGTGGTTAGCAAGGCCATGGGCCGCCCATGGTCGCACCCTACGGTTCCCTTCAGACCCTGCGCCTCCAAAAGAAGTTCAACGAACCAGTGGATTGAACATTGGGCCTTCCCCCCCCCCGGACCCACCAAGAGTCACCCCAATTCAAAAAGTTCTAGTGGCAGCATGGCAGTTTAAACATGCTCAAGTCAGTCTGCCTATTTTTTCGGCGACCGATTCGATCGGAGAACAGGCGCAGACCTATGAAGTATTGGGGCTCCAATTTCCTTGCTTCAGGTTTCGCAACTGTTGTGAACTAAATGGGGTTCTCTTTTTTGGAGGGTACCATTTCGGGGTTTGGATTGCAAGGCAACCCACAGGAAAAGCACCCATTTTGGGGTGGTCACTCTATTTTGACCCATACTCAAGTACAGAGTTGCCCAGGTTTTCTCAGAGTCTTTCCCGTAGGGCCCCAAGCTAAGGCCGATGTGGTGGACCTCGCGCAGATCGACACCAACTACGTGCAATTCAAGTCGGCCTTCACCGACGGCACCTATGGCTGCGTGGATGCGGTGGCGCAAAACATGCCAAGGGCCGTGAAGGTCAGTTTCCCCCGTGCGTTCGAAAGAGAATCCAAGAATCTTTGGTGCATTTTGCCAAGGGATGTTAGGACTTTAACTTTTTGCCAAGTGGGTTTTCCATTGAACCACTAAAAGTTAAAAACTTTTAGCAGGGGTGCAGAAAGCAACCGAGGACCCAAATGCCGTCCAAAGACTTTTTTTATGGACTCAGTCGTAAGCGAATCGACCTTTTGACCTTTTGGTTTCCCCATCCGCATTCCCTCAAGGTCTCAAACGGTGATCACCTTTTACCAGGTCCTTTGGGAAAGTGAGATGAAGATTCATAGCTATTTGAAGACAAGTGCTGCATCGGGGAGACCCCGCGAAGAGGCCCGGAGGGCGCAACGGCGGCAAGCGATGCCAACTTTTGATTCGACTCTCAAGTGTTGCCGCCCCTGGGTGATGTGGGGCGAGCACATGTAGTCGATCCTGCACTGCTGGGAAACAATCCCGCCTAAGAAACCACCAGATTGATGAATCCAGGGTCAACATCAGTGCGTAGGTGCATTTCGCAGGGTTTCATTTGGGGAGTAAATGGAAAACTGTGTGAAATCAAGTGGCCATCATGATTTCCATCATCCCAACCCAAATCCCAAATGGGACAGGGAAATAGCACCTCACAAAGCAATAAAATCAGGTAGGGTCCCTTTTGTGCTTGTCTCCTCAATGAGAGCAGCATCATGGCACCAACCATGATCTCGGCTGATTCCGATCCGCGAGAATAATCCCCATACGTCCCTTGGGCTACAATCATAGAGGTTGCCGAGGGATTTTCAGTTGTTGACAAAATATTTGGCGCTCAAAATACGTGGCTGTCAATTTATTGTAAAGCAACCTAGATGGAATCGATATGGCGTTCATTGTTCCAAACCCCCCTGTTAGCACCCATGAAGAAAAGCGAATGACAACATGGGCCCACGAGACTTGAACACGTGTTTGCGTCAGCGGGGCAGCCACTCAGTTTTGTTTCTTGTTTTTTTTTCTTTTTTTTTAAACCGGGATCAACATGATTCCGTTCCTGGAATTGTCCTGTGTTTCAATCCTCATTTCAAGGACTGGCCCATTTTGACTAGGTCCTTCAGTGCCCGACCTCTCACCCTTTTTTGGTTGGGAGGGTTCCCCGACTAAAATAGACGCCCTGCAACAAGTTGGTAGCCTTATTCTAAGCTCTCTACTGGCTGGCCCATTTTGAGCCCATGTTACATGATGCGTTGAGCACCTAGGCTATTTGGTGCCCAACTCCTTTGGAAGAGCCACTCGCTTGCAGGGCCGGAAGGTAGACAGGTGCGAGGAGGTGGCAGAAGCCCGTCTCCCCGCACAGAAAGACAGCCTTTCCCCATTGACTGCGATTGGGTATCGGATCTTTAGACTTGAAAACTGTTTGGTTGAAGTTAAGTTGGGTTTTCCCAAAAAGTGGTCAACTTTTTGCAGGGGTCGTTGCAGCAACCAAGTCCCTATCTCCCCCCTAAAACTGGAGTTGCGAGAGGAGGGCTGACCCCTGGAGATCTCCAGTTACGTTAACCCATTGTCCCTGTTCTTGCGATCGGTGCGATCATTAGGGAATGAGTTGGAATGAACCTGGGGATCCCTTTCGAATTCCAGGTTTCTGTGAAGCCGCTTTGCTCACATCAACTCCCAGGGAGCTTTTCGGATCAGATTCTCAGATGACGAATCGGCAACTGGGGACCGCGGATACGAGGCTAATTTGGTTCAATTATTTACTGCGGATGGGCGACAGCCAGTTCGCACCATGTAAGAAACCCTGGACCGAGGATTCCCCCTGTAAATACAAATTGCAACAAGCAATGATGTCAACCATGGCTTCATTTGGTGGTGCAGCCTCGGATTTCGTAACAATCCACAGTATCCTGGCTGAATCTGGCTTTGTACCTTGGTACAATTCTATCCATATGGGAACTGAGAAATCTGGCTGAATCTGGCTGGCGGTCAGTGTTTCGAACAGAGTTTGTAGTTTTTGGGGTTTGCAATTCACGGCTGCGTGGGACGGCGTTGAGCCAGGTGATTGCTTGAAATGGAATGACAGGTCCATGGCATCGTACCGCTATAGTCTCCAGTGGAGTTCCCAAGGCTCCGATCATCTAGTGCTCAGTTCGTTGTTTCGTTTGTTTGGTGGTTCCCAGCCATCCGGGATCTGAGGACAGCCCAGGTTTGTCTGATTCCCCAGCCAAGAACCACCAACGACACAAAGTGCTCCTTTTCCACCGAGCCATGGGACAACTGGGTGCCCCGTATAGCGTATAGTCCCTAGGCCCAACTCCTCGCCCCAAGAAATCCGAGGAAGCCCCTGGGCAACTCGCCTTGGTTACCACAAGAAGGCTCGCCAGTTGCCACGGCCGTCAAAACCCGGCCATGTTTGACGCTGGGTTCTGCGCAGTGCTCCAGTTCAGGGGATTGCCGCCTTCAAATCCCGCGTTCAGATCATTTGATCCACAAAAAAGACCGGAGAATACGTCAAAACCGGGTGACCCCTTCGCCACACGCCGAGGTGGTGCGATTCACCTTGGACCCCTTCGCCTTCGACGCGGAATATGACGTCAGCCTCCTGCATCTTGGCACCGGAAACCCGGAAGCAGCAGTGTCCGGTTTGCCTCTGAAATGGGAGACCCCTAGTCAGTCAACCAGGGGTTGTTAATACCCACCTCCAGCACTGCTCTGTTGCTCCTTCTTCTTTTTTTCATGTTTTTTCTTTCTTTTTTTCGCAGTTTAGTATGATAGTATGGCATATATCTTTGATCACGTAGCCGCACAGATTCACACAAGCTCACCGGTTCCGGGGCACAACGAGCGAAGCCCGTGATGAAGGTTTCTTGCTTTGAGATTCCTGCTTTTCGGCTTGTGAGGTAAATTGCTCAGATACATGGACCCAAGAAAGAAGTACCCGTCTTCCCCCTAATATCTGTGGGGGGGACCCTCCTTTTTAGCCGAGAAGTGGTTTCCTACTCTTCTACTGTGGGTTCCCATGGCTAGGAGTAGTTGGCGGGGAAAAACAATATTGAAACGATGTACATGCACGTAAACCTCCCATGTCACCACAAAACCACGGATAGGTGGTGTACAAAGGCTTGGCCTGCCTATTGGCAATATTTCGTGCATGCATCTTGCATACCCCACATGGGCATGCCCCCAGCTCAGTGACTATGAACAGGCCGCAGAAGTTCGACATCTGGGTGGGGTATGTCCATTTTGGCAACGGAAGTTGTACCGTAGAAAGCTTGCAGAGATTCGCACATAACGTGGCAATCGGCGGCCGTTTGGGAGGATAGTCTCATTCCCCCAGTTCCCGGACTTGTTATTCCCCGAAATTCAGTTGTTCCCTATCCAGCTTCTTGATTGGCAAGCAAGTTAGATAATGTCAGTCGGCTGACTGCTTGGTTCTTGTGTTTGGTTCTGGCATTTGGTTGTCCATTTTAGAGGTAGGTAGAGCTGGCCAGCTGCTAAGCTAGATGGTTTGTTTCTGTTTGCTTGCTGGGCCAGTTCGCAAGTTGGTGTGATCATTGGTCGGCTCGCTGGCTAGCAAGATCTAGCAAGTTACGTGCTTCAGGGGCAAAACTCACCCCCTGTCAAATGGAACCCCCTTGGTCAAAATCAACCTAGGATGTTTGTATATCTTTGCAAGGCCCACATGAAACTTGCAAGGTCTGCAGCACCTCTTTGAATTTGGCAAGGGAGTACTGACTTGATTGGGTAAAACGAGTCCAGGCTTCTAGTTTACCACATCAAACAGTCCATGAGAAACTCAGAAAGTGAGGGCGACCAAAGACCGATCAGAGGCACTCAGCGTTACAAGCTTAGACTTGTGGTGTATGTATATATCTATATATAGTCCAGAACCCCAACCGCCCCCCCCCCCCCTGTGGCATGGTGGGTGGGGCTGGTTGGAGTGGTTTAGGGATGGTTTAGGGCTGGTTTATGGTCGGCTTCGGGTTGGCTTGGGTTGATTTGGGATGCGTTTTGGGAGCGTCCTGCCCGCCCTGTGGAGTTGTTTCAAGAAGGGAAGTTTGACAGGAACTGCCGTGGTACGGACTCTAATTGAAAGCTAGCTCTCTGACCGAAGGCAAACGAAGAATACGCACGCATGAGAGAAAAAAAAAAGGCGCGCGGGGCAGGGGATGGACATATCCCAAAAGAGCGGAGCGAGCCCAAAGCGAGGTGGGGGGGTGACCATGTGCATTATATATATATATGCACACTCTCTGGGCACCCATTTCTGTTGTTTTTTTCCGCCTGACCACCAAGGTCCTCATCTTGGGACTTTGGCATGTACGACGGCACCTACGGCTACTTGGTGGGAGACGCTTGGCCTGTCCCTCCAGGTGTTGCGATTCAAAGGCAACGCCAAACGCATCGCAAGAGGTTCCCTTGTTTCAAACCGGTTGTTGCACCTTCAGGCTTCTAGGCAAAGCCTTGAAGATGAACGCCCGAGATGGCCAAATGCACTTTCGAGACCTCGACGCTTCGAACGCTCCGTGTTGCGAAGGTATTGCAAGTTTGTGCCCAGGATTTCTGATCTTTGTCTTGGCTCTGTGCTTGGCATGGTTTCGCACTGAGAGGGGCTGCTTGGTGGTCCAAGACGGGTACAAGGATTTGTGTTGCAAGCCGGACCCATCTTCATTCTTCTTTGGCATTTGCAAGAAATGGCCCTGGGCGGTTGCGAACCGTGAAGGTGCGTTGGGGGTTCCTGATTTCAGGTGCCGTGTGTGAACTACAGCCATTTGCCCAGCATCTTTCTAGAGCTTTGCAACTGACACGCTTGCGGAAAGCGCAGCGGCCCAAGCAGCGGCCTAGACTGGTCGGGAAACCGCCGCCTTTTGGTGTGGTATGTGCTGAATTGTCAGCAGCTTGCATTCGTTCGCAACAGCAATTCACTCGGCCCCTATTCATCACCCAGAGTAGTTTTGGGCCGAACTGGGACGCTTCGAGGGGACGTAGGATGGTTCACCCAGCAAGAAACATCAGACGGACCGCACCCAGGAGCCTTTGCACCCTGCACATCCACAAGGAACACCCCTACAGTCCAACACCCCCTCGAGGATCCCACCACTGTAAGTCACGGCAAAGTTTGCGACACATCTAGCTACATCCAATCACATCCAACCACAACCATAAATTGCAGGTTTCCCAACTTGTTCCCTTGGAATGTCGCTTTTGTCCAGCAACGGACGTGTCGATTTCGGGGTCCTCCAAAAAGAACGTCGTCCTCAGTCGGATCAGCTTCCGCTTGCCCAGCAATCGACCTCCAACGTGGTCCGCTTCACCTGGGGTGGCGCCTGGGACACGCTGGACATGTACAGCAGCCACGGCGTTTTTAGCCCCTGGCTCAGGAATTGGGGGCGGGGGGGAGTTTGCAGGCTATTGCGGGTCCCCGAGGGCGATTCCTGAGGGTTCGACTTGGAACCCCCGAGGCCAACAAAAAGCACAGTTTTTGGCAGACCTGGGCACAAGAACGGAAATTGGCCCATCACTTTGCGTGGCTGGTGTCTCAGCAATTTGGACGAGTGGATCCTAGTATGGGAACACTCTCGCCTTCTGGCACCTCTCGTTCTCACTAGATTGCTTGGGACATGGGGTCTGTATGGGTCTGTCCACTCACCGGTCGAACGGTCTTTCAGTTTCATTGCGTGCAAGAGTGCCACAGATGTGGTGTGCAGATTGGTGCACACATCGCGCGAAGGGCTCGACTTCCGCAAAGATCCCACTGACAGGCATTGGGACCGCCGCCACAAAGCTTCCCAGCACCACCATTCTATCCCTTTTTGTAATTGACTGAATGGATCAATGGAATGCCCGGAATGAATGAACGGGATTGATGGAACGACTGGGATTGTGTGGACTGATTTGACTGCATGGACTGAGTGGTCTTGATGAATGCAATATTCTATAGTTGAAGGATATGAACAGGAAAAAATACTATAAGCAAATGAATGCAATAAATACATAAATCAACCTATGTATGCATATATATATATATATATGTAGTAATGTCCATATGCATACATGCGTTTGTGTGGGCACTCCTGCGTTTGTTCATGCAGCCGCGCAGGTTGTGTGTGGGGTGTGTGTGCCCAATACTAGGGATGGAAGCTAGCAAAAGGTGGAATTCAAAAGGGTTGCCTTGGACCTTGACTAAACATGGACCACAACACAGGAAAAAAAGAAGAAAAAAAGAACTATTTCTGATCCTGCTCCACATTTAGACTAGCCTATAAAATAGTCTTGGGACCGGAGACCCCAAAGAAGAGCAACCATGGTTCCTCTTCCCGCGTTAAAACCTGACAGACTCAGGCCTTACCCAACAGGAAAGCTTCCTAGAAGCTCCTTTCATGCATTCATTCATTCATTCATTCATTCATTCATTCATCCATCCAGCCATTCAATCAATCGATCCATCACTCATTCATCCAATCAATCAGTCATCCAATCAATCAATCAATCAATCAATCAGTCAGTCAGTCAATCAATCAATCAATCAATCAAATCAATCCATCCATCCATCCATCCATCCATCCATCCATCCATCAATAAACCGATCAATCAATCAACCGCTCAATCAATGCGTTCATTCAATCAATCAAAGCGCACATTCAACGCATTTATTCAATGCATTCGTACAGGCATTCCTTCAATGTTTGCTTCTGATCGTGGCAGCATGCGTCAGCGCCCCAGCTGCTGGACGAGGAGATGGCACGCAGAGAGGGAGAGAGAGAGAGAGAGAGAAACAAAGAAAGAAGGAAAGACAGAAAGACAGACAGCAAGGAAGGAAGGAAGGAAGAAAGTAAGGAAGGAAGAAAGGAAGAACGACAACGAATACAAGAACGGAGGAACGGAATATAGAATCATTCATTCATTCTTTCGTTGGTTCGTTTGTTGGTTTGTTGCGTCGTTCAATCATGTCATAGTCATTGACGCATTCATTGGCTCATTTGTTTGTTTCTCGAGTGTTTATCCTGCATGCATTCATGTCATGCCGTTCCATTCATTGATCCATTCCTCATTTAGTCATTCGTACTGCAACCGAAAAACAGCCATTCATGCTTAGGATTGGGGCCCCCTTTCAGGAAAGGTGTAATTTTGCATAAGGTTCAGCGAGTATGAGCCAGGATCTGAAAACATGTTCGGTTGGAGGCAAAAGCTCACTAAGATTTTAGGATTGGTGTAAATTGGCATTCTGGGTTTGCAGCTTCCTTGCCGCCCCGGCATTTTTTCGGGCGGGCTGTGGCCGGCACAGGCGGCTTCTATTCAGCCTTTGTCAGCGGCTCGGACGTGTACCTGTTTGAGACCACGCAGTATTCAGGCATCTACCGACACTGCAAAGCCGGGGCCCAAGTGGTGTTTTTTTCCGCACTGCTCAACAGGCATCCCTTAGTGGTTTGGATTCGGATTTAACCACTGGTTCTTGTTGAGAATTCATGGAAAACCACCCTAACCTCCAAACCACCAACCCCAACCACCAGTACCAAGTTACCAGTCGCAAACGGGGATCTCCCCCTAAAAATGTTACTTGGGGAAGCCGACATGTGAACAGAGTTGCTGGATGCTCATGCAGGTCCACTGTGGGTGGCTTGTCATGTGTGCTGCATGTGGGAGAATCATTGTTGGTTGCCTTCAAGTTCGCCTGGGACGTGCCAATGCAATGAACTGTTTGAAAGGGCAGTGTGCTTTCTTTGCGCGACATGCCGAAAACTCTGCGCATGCCGAATCCACGAAAGAAGGAAGGGGCACTCCTGATCAGGGCTAAGGAGAGCCCCTGGTTTGAGCGTGTCTAAGCAATTACTTCAACAACCTGATCTTGGTTTCCGTTCGAAGTGGGCCAGCAGTTAGAGAATTTTTGCCCATCCTTGGTTACCGCAGTTTTGAACCATCGCTGCCCGCGTACTGCATACAGAATGGCGGCATGCAGGTTGAGCTGCAGCTGAACTGTCTTCGATACATGCGCACGTTTTTTATTGGTGTCTTTCTTGTAAGCGCTTCGCGTTGCCTCCCTCGGCCAGTATGGTTTTGGCTGGCTTTGAGGTACTGTGGTTGGGTTTGCCTTGAGGTGTGGTGTTTGTTTGAGTGAGCGAGTCGGCACTCACATGCATGATAGATGGTGGGTGCATGTTCGGGCGTTTGCACATGGCTTCAATGGCTTCAACGAGAGCGCAGGGAGTTACAGAAGGGCAGTGGGCTGGGCTTAGAACAATTTGGTTGGGGCTGACCTTTCTGGAGGACGGGCTTTTAAGGGGATCTGGAGTTGGACTGGGTATTAGAGGGCGTTTGATCGGCTTCTCAGGGGGAACTCGGCCAGGGGAATTTGATCAGTTTCTAGGGCTTTGACCAGAGTTGGCGCGGCGGGATTTGACCGGATTTGGACCGGCTCTTTCAAGGGGAACTTGATTAGTTTCTAGCCTCGCAAACTTGCTCCAGAGGGGCTTGAGGCAGCTGGGGCATGGGTTTCATGGGTCGGGGCTCGGACGGGCCAATTCCCGCCCCATTCCAAGAGGAGCCCTCCCACGCGTCCTGGCACGCATAGCTGCTCAGTTTTCCTTAGCTTCCCACTGGCCAGCCCAAAGTTAGCTGCAGGCTAGCTGTTGAAGGGCAAGGCATAAGTACCTGAACCCGACTTCAACGCAATACCAGGTGACCAGACTTGCGCGTACCTGTGGGTTGTTCACTGCTCTCAGCATGCGGTTTCACTGGTTTGTCTTTCTGTAACTTTTTAGTTGCGAACTGTGTGAAGACAACCACAACAACTGACCGACCAACCAGCCAGCAAGCAACAAATGCAAAATACTGAGCAAACAAACAATGCGCGTCACCGTGCTGATTCTCATTTGTGCCAGCGTGGGTGCAGGGCTGTGGATGCACGAGGGCGTATTGATTATGCGCCCTCCTCACACAAGCCGCAGGACAGCGAACACCCAAAAAGGCACGAAACTACCAGACGCCTGTGGCAGCAACAGCCGCCGAACAGCGAACAAAGAACAACATCAACAACCACAAGAACGACGGCAACGACGATGCCAGTGCGAACGGGGACAACGCCGCGGCCGCAAGCAACTCGAAGCTGCCACTGTCTATGTTGCATTGGTTTTACCGTGTGCTTCGTATGTCGTGTCAAGGACGTGCTCTTTGCAAAACAGGCGTCCTTCTAGTGAACGTCACAAGAGTCACTCAAAGAACAACGACGACGCCGACGACAACAGCAGCAGGAGCAGCAGCAAGCAGCAACAACAACAACAACGACGACCACGACCACGACCACGACCACGACGACGAGAACGACAACGACAACGACAACGACAACGACAACAGCACCAACAGCAGCAGCAGCAGCAGCAGCAGCAGCAGCAGCAGCAACAACAACAACAACAACAACAACAACAACAACAACCGCAACCGCAAAAGCAACCGCAACCACAGCCACACCACAGCCGCAAGCACAACCACAACCACAACCACAACCACAACCACAACGACGCCACTGACAAGACGACGACTACGACAGCAACAGCAACAGCAACCAGCAACAGCAACAACTATAACACCAGCCACAACCGAAACCGCAACCACAACCACAGCCACAAGAACAACCGCAACCACAGCAACGCCAACGACATCAACAGCAACAACACAACAAAGCAACAGCAACCGCAACAGCAATAGCAACAGCCACAACAACCAAACCAATACCAACACCAGCAGCAACAACAACCACAACCACAACAACAACGGCGCCAAGGACAACGACAGCAACAGCACAACAAAACAACAGCAACAGCAACAACAACGCAACAGCAACAACAACAGCAACAGCAACCACACCAATACCAACAACAGCAGCAGAAGCAGCAACAACAACAGCAACAACCGCACCCACAACCACAACCACAACCACAACAACGCCAACAACAACGACAACGACGGCAACAGCAACAGCAACAGCAGCAACACAACAAAACAACAGCAATAGCACCCGCAACCACAATAGCAGCAGCAACAGCAACATCAGCAGCAGCAGCAGCAGCAGCAGCAGCAGCAACAACAACAACAACAACAACAACAACAACAACAACAACAACAACAACAACAGCAGCAGCAGCAGAGCAGCAACAGCAGCAGCAACCAACAACCTGCAGAAGCAACCTGCGGAAGCAACCTGCAGAAGCAACCTGCAGAAGCAACAGCAACAGCAAGAGCAAGAAGAACACGAAGAACAAGAAGAAGAACAAGAAGAACATCAACAACAAAAGGAAGCACAACAGCAGCAGCAGCTCCTACTACTCCTACTCCTTCAACTTCTACTCCTCCTCCCCCGCCTACTACTACCTCTGCTACTACTTCTCGCATTTGTTGGCTCTGAGTGGCTGGCTCGTACAAAAACAACAAAACCAACATCAAACTTTTAGCGGACGCCAGGTTGCATCGTGGCTTGGCGAAAGAGTGGGGGGAGCTTCGGATATGGACGGCCCGTTTCGGGTTGATAGCTTTCCGGTGTGTTTGGGGCACGTAAAGCTCTCTCGAAGGAACTCTGGCAGAACCCTAGTCCCAGAAAAGTCTTTGCGGAGGCCAAACTCATTGGAGGCTCCCAGGTGTTTTTTTTCTCTCAGCCCTTCCTGTGAAAAGCCAAATGCCCAAGATACAAGCCAGAAATCAAAATGGCCCAAGGGTTGCTTGAAACTGGGTTCTTCGAGCTTCCTCGCTGGGCTCAAGGTTTACAAAAGGGACACGTGTTTGGAGGGTACTGTCAATCCCCTTGAGAATCATCCCCACCATTCAAAGTAGAATTTATTGCCTGGCTTCTTGTCTGCCTTTGCGAAGCCTGGATATCACTGAGCAAGCCCTAGCAAAGCACTGGTCCACAGGAGGCTCTATGGTTCTTGTTGGGAAGAACATGGGGGCAGCGGCCAGGGGTCCCTGCTCAATAGGTTCTCATGCCCTTTATGGGAACAAGCATCTCTGACCCTGTCTCAATCAAGGTTCTTGGGACACTCCGTCACCAGAGCATCCAACAAAACATGTGTTTGTGCCGTGGACTTGAGCCACGGCCAAGGTTCATTGTGTGCCCCGACTTGGAATTCGGAGTTTTCGGGGGACCATTTTTCCAGTTGAACTCTGTTTCCTTGGGACAATGCGTGCAGCTGTCTTTGGCTGATTGAGCAATCAACCAGGCCCATGACCAAGGGGCGTCCAAAGGAGCTCCAAAACGGCGAAACAAATGCCAACGAGGGACCCCCGAAAGTGGAGGAATTTCATGGGTGGCGGATGATCAACCCGCTTGTTGGTTCCTAAGCTTCTATTTGCTGAAGTATTTTCCCCTGGTTGGCTAAGGGAATCCATCACTGCTGGAAATAGGTTTTTTCCAGGTGGGCTTTGGCAAATGAAAGTGAAGAAGGCCAAACCAGGCTTGTATCTACTTGCCCGTATCTCAGTGACACCTTGGATCGGGGTCTTACTTCTGTCGGTCTTTTGTTGGCTGTTGGCCCGCCCTGTTTTGCGGTTGATGAACTAATGTTGCAAACAGGTCAGCAACCACGACCACGTCAAGCACCACTACCTCCACGTCAACCAGCACCTCATCATCAAGCACCACTTCTACCTCAAGCAGCTCATCGTCAAGCACCACATCCACGTCTACCACAAGCACCACCTCGACTAGCACCACCTCGTCGTCAAGCAGCACTACCTCAACATCAACCAGCACCTCGTCGTCAAGCACCACCTCCAGCTCAACATCAGTCGCAGCCTCCTCGTCAAGCTCAACATCAACCAGCACCTCTTCTTCCTCAAGCGGCGCAAGCAGCACCTCGTCGTCAAGCACTACTTCTTCCTCAACCAGCACCTCGTCGTCAAGCACCTCCTCTAGCTCAACATCAGCCGCAGCCACCTCGTCAAGCTCAACATCAACCAGCACCTCTTCTTCCTCAAGCGGCGCAAGCAGCACCTCGTCGTCAAGCACTACTTCTTCCTCAACCAGCACCTCGTCGTCAAGCACCTCCTCTAGCTCAACATCAGCGTCTACCTTTACATCAACTAGCATCTTATCATCAAGCACCACTGCTTCCTCAAGCAGCAGCTCGTCATCAAGCACTACTTCTAGCGCATCATCGGCCGAAAGCTCCTCGTCAAGCACCACCTCTAGCTCCACATCAAACAGCACATCGTCAACCAGCACCACTTCGACCTCAACTTTTACCACCTTTTCCTCAACATCAGCCGAAATATCCTCTTCGAGCACTACCTCTACCTCAACAGCAACCAGCACCTTGTCGTCAAGCAGCACTTCTACCTCAACCAGCACCTCGTCTCCAACTACGGTGGATGGACAGCATCCCGCATCACCTAAGAAAGCCTGGAATGATGATTCCCTGGTAAAGGCCAACAAACAATGGTTTCTCATGGTTTCAAAGTGATGCAGGATTTCGTCCATCCACAGGGGTGGACTTGCTTAGGGGTGGACTTTTTGCGGAGCCTAATTGCCTTGGACACGAGGGGCAGTTAAAAGGAACCCCAGGAGAAGACAACCGGTTTGTTCATTTGCTCCATCTTGCTCACGAACAGGTTTCCAATGAGTGGACCGGACCATTTGTTTGCTCACGGGGGAAGGCCCTAGAATTTGGGGGCTGGGTTTCAACATTGGAGAGCCACACAGTCTCAGAGTCCCGATTGAATACAAAGACTGTTGGGTTTTGTAGTGAGAACAGGAGGCGTTGCCCTTCAAAAAGTTGGTTTTTTAGCCCACCAGGACCTGACACCCAACAGGCTCTGGAAGGGAGCCCCACGGCGCTCTGCGCGCCCGGTGAGAAAAAACTGGGTGGCTCCCAGCCATCCGTTTCCTCGAGTTGGTTTAGTGGTTGGGTTTCCATTCAACCCACAAGTTTGTCACTTGCAGGGGATCAGTTTGGGCCCGGCCCGCTGCCATTGAGAAAGTTCATCCCTCTTGGAGTTTTCCCTGTTGAAGTCACGGGATGAACATTTGGCAAAAAGCTTTTAAGGATATCTCGGAGCAAAACCAGCTCACCCACAAGGCTGTTTCGGGCTCCAGCTTTGGTGCGGTTCAGACATCGCCTGTTTTGGGCCAAAAATCAAAGCTGAATTTCCAAGAGGTTCCGTTGCAGGTAACCTCCTTGGAAGCCTTGCTGCCGCTTCCATGGAATCCGCCCAGGGTGCAATAAAGCGACTTCAGTGGGCGGATTCCATGGGTTTGTTGTTTGGTTCGATTCGTACACTAGCGCCATCTAATTACGTTTCCAAAAGCCCCACCGGAGCCGCTCTACTCAACGCTGAATTTTGAGAGTTGGAATCTATTCATGTGCCCGCGAAACCTACCTTTTTCTTCCCAAAAGAAACCTCTCAGGGGCCCGGGGGCAGACCCTTAAGAGGAACAGGCCTACCGTAAGGGTGCGTGTCTCGTGGGCTTGCAGGGTCTTTGCAAAGAGCAAATGCCGACCAATCCAACAATCCTAATGTAGGTGGGAGTTATTCAACCTACTGTATGCCGAGAATTGGTCACTCCCAGGCTCCTCTGCCAGCTCCCTCACGACCAGCAGCAGCACCACCACCAGCAGCAACTCGATGGAAATCCTAAACTCATTCGGGCCCATGTAGCTACAATTGTTTAATGAGGAACCATCTTAAAATGGTTAATGTTGGACCCTCTTTACACGCCCACCCCCGCCCCCCGGGAACAGTGAAACCAGGTAGCTGGACCCTCTTTGGAGAAAATTCTGGGGGTCACTTACTCTAGTATTGCCAAGGCTGACTCTCAGATTCCCAGTACTGACGTTAGTATTGCCATTTCTACTGTAATTGCCAGCGCTGACTCTCAGCTTCCCAGTGCTTGCTTTAGTATTGCCGATTCTACTTCACTATTGCCAAGGACTTTTTTTCAGCAACCAAAAAAACAGTTGGAGCACTAAAGAGGACCCCAAAACAGTCACATTCAGGAGGATCAGGGCCTCTTGTGGGCAACCCCCTTTGTGCGAATGGTTGCCCTTACTTTTTGTTTGTAAAACTTCAAGAAACGGATTTCCTAATGTTTGCTCGGATTTGGTTGCCCTTTTTTTTGCCCGACTTGTTTGCCAAGTTTTGTGTGCCCATCTGTGTTCCAGCGGTTTTTTTCTCCGGCAAACAAAACTTTCCACAATAGAGGACCCCAAATCAGTGACAGGATCCTGAATTAGCAGAACACTTTCTACAATAAGGGTACTTTTCATTGGGGGTCTAACATCAGTGGACAGGATTCCCACCTAAAGGATGTTCAGGGCCGCGTGGATGGATACAAAATCCATTGCGCAGCAGTGCTTGTTTTGCCAGTACCCATGGCTTCGTGCATCCCAACTGGTGCAGGATTGTGTCCATCCACAGTTGAAGAGGTAGGTGCTATGTGTGGAGCTGTTCGTGGTGAACAGCATTGTCATGTTGATCCAAGGTTGAGTTGAGGGTTGAAACGTCACTAAACAAGCAAGTCCTTTTGTGAGACGGTTTGGGCCATGTTCGGAGGGCCAGAAGCGAAATGGCTCGTTGAACGGAAAGGCAAAGTGTCGAGGTCGTCGCATGTGCCGAGGTAGTTCGAGCAGCTCCAGCAACTGGGCAAAGTTCGCGCTATTCCGTGCTTCCAGTGACGGATTCATGGGTTGGGTTCGTGTGGCTCGAGCATTTTGGAACCCTCGTTTTGGTTTGGTGAGTGGTCTAGGTTGAAGTCTAGCGGTGCTCATTCCCCCACTATTTTGTTGAAGGGCTTTCTTAGGTAAGCTTCAATTGGTGTTTGGGATTGGTGGCTTGGGCATTCCAACCCCTTGGTGCGCGCTGAGGGTTAGCGGGAAGCAGCACCCTTGCCCCCAAAAAATAAATACAAACCTTGAAATCAGAAAAATGTGGTGCCCCGATTGCTGCTGGAAATCCACGAGTCATGTGCCCGTGGAACCAAAAGGAAAAATTCTCAGGAAGCCCAAGCTAGTCCCTCAAGAGGAAGAATTGGCCTCCGTAAAGTGAGTATTTGGGGTGCGTGCCTTTGGGGTTTACAGGGTCTTTGAAAAAAGGAAATCCAATACTTGGTGGCTCCCAGCCTTCCGGGTTCCTTAGCTTTTTAGCCTTCTAGTGTTTAGTGGTAGTTTCCATTTCACCCACTAAAAGTTGAACTTTTAGCGGGGGATCTGAGGGCAGCCCAGACTAAAACAATCCCAATGCGTCACTCCCAGGCTCCTCTGCCACCTCCTTCACGACGAGCAGCAGCATCACCACCAGCAGCAACTCGGTGGAAATCAACTCATTCAGGGCCATGTGGCCACGATTGTTTAACGAGGATCCATCTCAAAATGGTTGGACTGCATGCCCACCTAAAGGATGACCACCAAAAGGGTCCTACTTGAAATTCAGGGCCCAAGGATGGATACAAAATCCATTGCGCAGCAGTGTTTGTTTTTGCCAGTACCCATGGCTTCGTGCATCCCAACTGGTGCAGGATTGTGCCCATCCACAGTTGAAGTAAGTGCTATGTGTGGAGCTGTTCGTGGTAAACAGCATTGTCATGTTGATCCAAGGTTGAGTTGAGGGTTGAAACGTCACCAAACAAGCAAGTCCTTTTGTGAGACATGTTCGGAGGGCCAGACGCGAAATGGATGGCTTCGTTGAAGGGAAAGGCAAAGTGTCAAGGTTGTCGCACGTGCCGAGGTAGTTCGAGCATCTCCAGCAACTGGGCAAAGCTCGCGCGATTCCGTGCTTTCAGTGACGAATTCACGGGTTGGGTTCGTGACCTGATGGCTCCGGCTTTTTGGAACCATCGTTTTGGTTTGGTGAGTGGACTATGTTGACTCGTGGCTGCCTAGCGATGCTCATTTCCCCGCTGTTTTGCTGGGGCTTTCTTAGGTAAGCTTCAATTGGTGTTTGGGAATTTCAACCCCTTGGCGCGTGTTGAGGGTTAGTGGGAAGCAGCACCCTTGCCCCCAAAAAATAAATGCAAACCTTGAAATCAGAAAAATGTGGTGCCCCGATTGCTGCTGGAAATCCACGAGTTTGGCGGCCTTTGCAATCCAACTCAGACTTTCAAGGTAGCCACTTTGTCAACCTCCAAAAGGCGTCCAAGTCTTTGTCTGCTAGGTCACTACTGCGCACAGAACTAGGATGTCCTCCTTCATCAACGCACTGCCCTTGAGCCAGTACGGATCGCATGCATGAGCGTCATTTTACTTAACTTCAACGGAAGTGCTTCGACAGCGATCTGAAACCGGGAGGCTTCTTTTGCATGCTCCGCGATCGAGTCTCTCGACAGAGACACGACAGAGCATGAGCCCATTTGGCGTCGCGTGTACAACGCAGGCAGCGCAACGTTCTGCGCACGAGTACAGCATCAAATTAAGACCCTGGAGTTATTTTTTTTCACGTCCCTTTGTCCCTTGCTTTCTTGCCCTTTGGCTCAACCTTTCACCTTTGGACCCGACCTCGGCCAAAAATGTGCCGCTTACTTTGCAGGGCATGCCTTGAACTGTGTCCGGCCGACCAGGAATAAGTCGGCAGCAAGTTCCCTCCCAACTCGTTCACCAGGGTGGCTCCTTTGCAGTTTCTCCACCCATGGTCAATTGGCTTTGGTTGCATGGCCACTGAAAAGTGATCACTAACCACATGAGGAATTCCACTCAACGGCACCTGTCCATGTACTAA